ACCTGAGAGATGGTATAAATCGTACCCCAAACCTCAGCATCACGCAATATACCAATGTAACAAACCTGTACATATACCACCTGAACCTAAAATAAAATAGGGCACCCAATTATTAGAGAACAATCATTCTTTTCAAGCACACATGCAACATTTATCAAAGTTGATCACAAACTTAACCTTAAAAGATGTCTCAGGGAACTTCAAAGAATCAATATCATGCAAAGTTATCTGACAAAAATGCAATTACATTAATAATGTAATTAAAAGAAATTTCTAAAATTAAATAATTTAGATATTTTAAAATTCCAAATGATTCATGTGTCAAAGAAGCAATTGTGATGGGAATGTTTCAATACTTTTAGAACAGAATAAAAATGGAAATACTATATATCAAAATAGAATGCTTCAAGAAAAATTCAGTCTTAAAAGGTCAGAGTAAAAAGAAAAACTGAAAATTAATAGATTAAATGTGTAATTTAAGAAGTTAGATTTTTTAAAAAACCCACCAAAAAATTAAATAAAAGGAGATAATAAGAAAATGGCAGAAATAAAGGAGGTAGAAGACGAACAAATAATAGAGAGGACCTACAAAGAACAACAACAAAATGCTGAGTTCTTTAAAATGATGACAAAAATACTCAAACCTCTGACAAGATTTTTTTTAAAAGAGAGGGAGAAATAAAACAAAGTAATATCAGAAATGGAAAGGGGGACAAAAACCACATGTAAAACCAGATTTAAGAGCGGTAAGATTATAATGAATAACTTTATTATAACAAATTTGAAAATATAAAGAAAATGGACAAATTCCTAAAAATCTCATTCACTGAAACTAATCAAGAAGAAATAGAAAACGTGAGTAGTCCTATAATCATTAAAGGAATTGAATTTTTTAAAAAATCTTCTAAGAAGGAAAAAGATCAAGATCAGATAATTTTTCAGACAAGTTCTACCAAATCTTCAAGGAACAAATAATTCCCATGATATGCAAAATATTGCAGAATATTAAAAAAAGAGATATTCCATAATCCATTCTACCAAACTAGTATAAGATAAATACTAATTCAGACAAAGACACTACTAAAAGGAAAATTACAGCTCAATATCTATCCTAAATATTGAAAAATCTTAAATATTAGCAAACTGAATTCAACAGTTTATAAAAAAAGATAATATATCATGACCAAGTTGAACTTGTCCCAAAAATGCAATAGTAGTTTAACGTCAGAAAAATCTATTAAATGTTTCTCACCAAAGAAAAATAACATAATCATTTCAATCAATGCAGGAAAAAAAAGCTTTTGATAAAATATAACACCAAATTAGTATTTTAGCTAGGAAATGAAGGAAAGTTCCTTATTTTTGATCAAGAATATCTACTTACAGGAAACATCACAGGTTTGTTTTTTGTTTTTTTTTATCTAGAAATGATTTTAAACTTACAGGAAAATGGTGTTAATAATAACAGAAGGCCAGGCACAGTAGCTCACACCTGTAATCCCAACACTTTGGGAGGCCAAGGCAGAAGGGATCACTTGAGGTCAGGAGTTCAAGACCAGTCTGGGCAACATAGCAAGTTCTCATCGCTACAAAAGATTTTAAAAATTAGCCAGGCATGGTGGTGCACACCTGTAGTCCTAGCTACTTGGGAGGTTCACTTCATTCAAGGAGTTTGAAGCTGCAGTCAGCTATGGGCTGTGCCACTATACTCCAGCCTAGGTGACACAGCTAGACTATGTATTTTTTTTTTTAATTTAAAATAAAGATAAATTATAAATAAATAAAAACAGAATACAGAACTATGTATTCTTTTCCCACATCCACCCACTGTTAACATTTTGCCCAGTTTGCTTTATCATTTTGCTTGCTGTCTTACCTCCACATGTGTGTATGTGCATGTGCATGTATGATACACAGTATGAAATCAGTATGTCAAGTTACACTCCCATTTTTATTGCAGCACTATTCACAGTACCCAAGAGATGGAATCAACCTAAGTGTCCATCAACAGACAAATGGATAAATATGTGGTACATACATGCAATGGAGTACTATTCAGCCATAAAAAAGAGTAAGATTCTGTCATCTGCAACAACATGGATGGAACTGAAGGTCATTAGGTTAAATAAAATGTCAGACACAAAAAGACAAACATTGTATGTTCTCATTCATATGGAGAAGCTAAAAAAATTGATCCTATAGAAGTAGAGAGTAGAATAGTGGTTACTAGAGGCTGAGATGGTTAGAGGGAGACAGCCAAAGATTGGTTAGCAGTTACAAAATTATAGCAAGATAGGAGGAATAAGTGTTAGTTTTCTATAGCGCTTTAGGGGAACTATAATTTACAATTTATTGTATGTTTTCAAATAGCTAGAAGACGGGCTTTTGGATGTTCCCAACACAAAAAAAAAAGATAAATGTTTGAAGCAATGGATATGCCAATTACCCTGACTTGATCATTATACATTGTACACACATATCAAAATATCACATTGTACCCCATAAATATATACAACTATTGTATCAATTAAAAATTGTAATAAAAGCAAAAAAAAATTCTTTGTTTGAAGATAAATTGATATACTCTCTGTACTCAGTTGAAAAACAAAAAACAAAAAAGATTGAAGAGGCTACCTGTAGCTAGAACAGAAAGGAGAGAATTTGCCCCTACTAAGGAGTCAAAGTACTTATATTCCTATTCCAAGTCAGCCAATTAGATAACAACAAAACACCTAAAAGGCTTGTAACTTCTGTTTGGATTTTTAAAAATCATTAATAAAAGCTAAGTGAAAAAGTATTAAAAATTATTCCAAAACTTAAAAAGTAAAAAGAATTTCCCAGCTAATCTTCTTTAAGTTCAATGTTTTTGCTATTTAAATAAGTAAGTTTATGACTGGATCACTAGTGTAATAAACCTTATTTAAGCAAGTGGAACTTCAGCCCAAAAAGTTTATGTAAAATCGTACGATTCTGGCACCACCTGGTGGCAGTATATTCCAAAAGCAGAGGGGGTGTGTGTGTGTGTGTGCATTTTTATTAATAACTAATTCACTCATTTATTACCAACTATTTAATAGGCATCTGCTAGGCGTAGTTCATATAAATCTTTAAATCTCTCTTGGAAGACAGGAAATAAAATAAAGTATAGTATCTAAAACAGGGTCCCTATCGCCAAGGAAAAAAAATCGTCAGTTAAATTATGACTGTCAGAATGTAATAAAAGAATCTGTTCTTGTTTAGAAGTTTCCTGAAAGTATTTATGCCCCTAGAACTTTCAAGCAAGAAGTCCTTAGGAGTGTATTGATAAACATAGTCTATCAAATCACCACATTGTAAGCAGTTTTCAAGGAAAATAACCAGTGGTTTTAAAATGTCCTCAAATTCCTGACACTTCTTCATTTAAAAGGTTGGCCAGGTGTAGTGGCTCACGCCTGTAATCCCAGCACTTTGGGAGGCCCAGGTGGGTGGATCACCTGAGGTCACGAGTTCAAGACCAGCTTGGACAACATGGTGAAACCCCATCTCTAGTAGAAATACAAACATTACCCAGGTGTGGTGATGCGTGCCTGCAATCCCAGCTACTCACTTGAACCTGGGAGGCAGAGGTTGCAACGAGCCAAGATTGTGCCACTGCACTCCAGCCTAGGCAACAGAGCAAGACTCTGTCTCAAAAAAAAAAAAAAAAAAAAAAAAAAAAGACGCTAATTTCCCTTTCCCTAAATGTAGGTTTGACTTAATGACTCACTTCTAATGACGAAAAGTGGCAGAGGTAGGGGCATGTAACTTCTAAAGCTAGGTTGCCAAAGATATCACCACTTCCATCTTGCCTTCTTCGAAACCACTCACCTGGGGGAAGTCAGCCATCATGTCATAAGACTCAAGAAGCCTGTGGAGAGCCTACCTGGGGAGGTACTGTGGCCTTCTGCCAACCACCAGCACCCGTTTTCCAGTCATGTAAATGGGCCCCCTCAGAAACAGATCCTACAGCCCCGACCAAGCTTCAGATGACCGCATCTCTCATCAACATTGCTAAGCTAAGCCACTCACAAAGAAACTAAGAAATAACCAATGTTTATTGTTTTAAGCCACTTAGTTTTTGGAATAATTTGTTATGCAACAGTATTAACTAATCCAATAACCTATCACTTCCTAGAAGACATTTTATCTATAACACAAAGTAAAAATAGCTCACTCTAGTTTAATACTATAATTTTTCCATGTGTTAACAAAATTTCAAATTGTCCTTCCTAATTTATAAGGAGTGATCCTTTTTTAATTCCCCCAATTGTTTCACAATATTATTTCATAATATTTACTACCTTCTTTTTTCTGAGACAGGGTCTTGCTCTGTTACCCAGGCTGGAGTGCAGTGGTGTGACCATGGCTCACTCCAGCCTTGAACTCCCTGGCTCAAGGTCAGCCTCCTGAGTAGCTCGGACCATATGCATGCACCACCACATACGGCTAAATGGTTTTTTTTTTTTTTTTTTTTTTTTGGTAAAGATGGGGTCTTGCGTTGTTGCTCAAAGTGCTGGGATTACAGGCATGATATAATCATATAGATATAATACATAATGTTATTTATGTGCATACATATTACATATGGCATGCATGTATATATTACATGTATGTGACATATGTGTATATGTGTGTACATATAACATACATATATGTATGCAGGTATATATAACATATGTGTATGTATCATATATATAAAACACATATATAAACACACCCAGCAATATTTATCACTTCCTAAGTTAATTCAATGAAACAGCAACCTAAGTAGATTTTAATCAGTCAGCAAGGATTTTGTTTTTAACCCCTCTGTTTGCAGAGCAACCACACTAAGCACTGTGTGGAGAACCATATCCTTGAAGTACTTATAATTTAAATCAGATTACTGTTCAAGAAATAATTTATGTTTTTTAACTAAACTTTTTCCCTGGCTCTGAAGATTATAGGTCAATGGAAGAAGGTACGAAAAATTTTTCCTTTACCTCTGTGAGGGATCCACAAGCCACACCACCGTGCAGGGCTTCGTCCAAAGCAGAAAGGGTAGTAGATAAGAATGCTGGTGAGAAATCAGCAGACCTTTGTGCTTTTATCTCATAAGCCTGAACAAGAAAATGATTAAGTTTTTTTTCAACCTTTATATCTATTCAAAAACATAAACCAACTCTAATTTTCTAAATTTTAGCAGCTTTAACCCTAATCCACCCTTTTCCCTTCTATTATTTATTTGTTCAACAAATATTTACTCTGTGCCAGGGTCTGTGCTAGATTATGGGGATATGACAAAACAGAGAGAGACGCTGCCCTCACAGTCTTATGAAGTCAACCAGAGACTATGAAATTAGGACTAGAAACCAGGCAATTACAACACAATTAATAAGAGATAATGTAATAGGGAAAGTATAACTGATATAGATTTTGGAAACAATGGAATTGCTGGATGTCTGTGCTAAAATCTGAAAGAGCTATTAGGTAAGCAAGGGAAATGTGACTATTCCTGCCAAAGAGGGCAGAATGTACAAAGAAAGGTCAAGAAGCAAGAGAGGAAACAGGGACTAACACAAACTGTAAAATATACAGTTCATTTAGAATGGCTAAAAGATGGAGTGTGGGTGCAGTACAGCAAGCAATGAGGCTAGATAAGTAAGCAGGGGCCTAACCATGAACAGCTCTGTTGAAGATGCAAAAAGGAGTGACGTGATCAAGTCATCATTTCAAACTCAGGTTCATTTGTGAAGAACAGTGTGAAGGAAGGTGTGGAAGGCTGAGAAATGACCCCCCACCCCCACCCCTGGATATCCAAATCAAATCTCCAGAACCTGTCTGTGAATATTACCTTATTTGCAAAATGGGTGTTTGCAGATTTGATTGTTAAAGACCTTGAGATGAAGGGATAATCATGGATTATCCAGATGGACCCTAAATACCCTCACTCATAAGAGAGAGGCAGAGGGAATTCAATACACACAGGAAAAGGTTATGTGAAGAGAGAAGCAGCCACAAGCCAAGGAATGCTAATGGCCACCAAAAGCTGAAAGAGGCAAGGAACTGATAATCCCCTAGAACCTCTGGAGAGAACGCAGCTCTGCCTACACCTTAATTTTGAACCTCTGAACTCCAAAACTGTAAGAGGATAAATTTCTGTTGTCTGAAGCCACCCAGGGTATGATTTGTATTAGAACTGCCACAGGAAACTAATACAACAAATTATAATTTCAAAGACATACTCAGATTAGTTTGTGAAGAACAGCTTGAAACTGGGAGATCTGTCAGGAAGACATTATAATCATTCCAAAGAAAAATAATGGTAGCTAGAAGAAGGTAATAGTAGTGGAGATAAAAACTTTTGGTACTAGCAACTTTATTGAAAGCCAGGTACACAGTAGGACAGTACCCCTTATCCACGGTTTCACTTCCCATGTTTCAGTTACCCATGGTCAACATTGATCTGAAAATATTAAATGGATAATTCCAGAAATAATTCATAAGTTTTAAATTGCACACAGCTCTGAGTAGCATGGTGAAATCTCACATGATCCCACTTGGATGTGAATCATCCCTCTGCCAAGTGTATACGCACTATAGACACTCCCTGCCTGTTAGTCAGTAGCCATCTCAGTTATCAGATCCAAAAAACGTAGTATATATATAGTTTGGTACTATCCAAATTTTCAAACATCCACTGAGGGTCTTGAAACATATTCCCTGCGAACAAGGGGAGAAACACTACTTATCTGAAGTTTTTCCGATATTATAAAATTCTGAAATTCTCCTTTTTTTTTGTTCAAGACAGAGTCTCACTCTGTCACCCGGGCTGGAGTACAGTGATGCGATCTCAGCTCACTACAACCCCACTTCCTGGGTTCAAGCGATTCTCCTGCTTCAGCCTCCCAAGTAGCTGGGATTACAGGCGCCTGCCACCACACCCAGCTAATTTTTTTATTTTTAGCAGAGACTGGGTTTTGCCATGTTGACCAGACTGGCCTCAAACTCCCACCCTCAAGTGGCCTGCCCACCTCGGCTTCCCAAAGTGCTGGAATTACAGGTGTGAGCCACTGCACCTGGCCCAAAATTCTCCTTTATTATCCTTGGTGTTTGTCCACAAGAAATTATACAAAGAATTCTGGTGATTTTATGTGTTGGTTTTGATCATTCTGATGTATTTAGAGCTACAAAAGTTAATACTCTATAAGGAAAATTGTTTTTTAAATTACTTTTATTAATATTCCGGGATATTAAAATTTTACCTGATTTTTAAAAGATGTTCATTTTCTAATGTTCCTTTTATTATTTTAAAGGCTTTTGACAACCTCCGTTTGTTAATGGTCTGCTGTACATTTCAGTTTAGCTTTGCCTGCTCCAGGGCACTGTCCAGTCGCTATGCTAGGATATGGAGCAAATAACATCAGCTCCTCTTAGATACTGCTGTGATTCAGGAATCATGAACAGTAAGGAAAAGGCAAGGATAGGCAGGTAAAGAGCATTTGTTGCACATCAGTAGATGTGCTGTATTAAGTACTTCACGTACATTATTTCATTTACACACAGGTATAATTATCTCCATTTCACAAAGGGTAAAAAAACTGAGACTGAGAGATTCGCCAGATATTACCACAAGGGGACAAACAAGAACCATTGCTGCTTTTTTCCTAATTAAAGAACATAACTTACCTAAAGCAAATTTGGAAAGAAGAAAAAAGTTAAAGAAAACAGAAGTCAGTAAAAAATTCCACAATCCTAAGATAACCATTATTAACAATAAATGCCAAATACCTTTATAATGTTCATTTTTATAAAATTAGCATGTATACTATATACAATTTCGTAGCCTGCTTTTTTCACTAAGCATTTATGTCCTGGGCATTTCTCCTGTTATTACAAATTCTTGGCTGGTCATGGTTGCTCATGCCTGTAATCCCAGCACTTTGGGAGGCTAAAGCAGGAGGATCACTTGAAGCCAGAATTTCAAGATCAGCCTGGGCATCATAGCAAGACCTCATCTCTATAAAAATAAATAAATAAAAATTTTTCAAAGATTTTAGTGCCTACATAATATTCCTTAACATAAATGTAATATAATTTATCTCCTTCCTTACTATTATTATTGTTTCCAATGTTTTGATATAAAAAATATTTCAGTAGGCATCCTTACATACACATTTTTGTCTATAATCTATCATCAGGCAATGTGGATGCATGTGAGGATACTTTCTCAAATATGCAAAGGCAGCCCAATCTGTCCAAATTAAAGTACTTCATTTGCAATTTTAAGTGTAATTTCTAGAATAATAGATTTGGTAAGTCAAAAAAATAATAATTGGCTGGGTGCGGTGGCTCACACCTGTAATCCCAGCACTTTGGGAGGCCAAGGTGGGTGGATCTCGGCCTGAGGTCCGGAGTTTGAGACCAGCCTGACCAACATGGAGAAACCCCATCTCTACTAAAAATACAAAAGAAAAAATTAGCTGGGCGTGGTAGCACACGCCTGTAATCCCAGTTACTTAGGAGGCTGAGGCAGAAGAATCGCTTGAACCCGGGAGGCGGAGGTTGTGGTGAGCCAAGATTGTGCCATTGCACTCCAGCCTGGGCAACAAGAGCAAAACTTCGTCTTAAAAAAAGAATAAAATTAACTAACAGAACAAAACTTCAGAGAAGTAGTATGTATATAAATGAGACAAAGACGAGTTTTGTGATATGACACTACCAGTTTTTCTTCTACTTTGGTGGCTGCTTCTTCTCAGACTCATTATCGTCTAATCTGACCTGTAACTGTTGGCATCACTCAGGTTTCAGGCTTAAGTACACTTATCGTCTTACTGTATGCACTTTATAGGCAATCACTCATCCATTCCGATAGCTTCAACTATCATATTTACACCAATGACTCCCACGTGCATGCCTCGCCTTCAAGGTCCAGGTCCATATATTTAACTGCCTACTTCCCGTCTTCACAATATGTTTTATAAGCATCTTAAATCAGACAAGTACTGGACGGTGCGGTGGTTCATGCCTGTAATCACGGCACTTTGGGAGGCTGAGGCAGGTGGATCACCTGAGGTCACGAGTTCAAGACCAGCCTGGCCACCACGCTGAAACTTTGTCTCTACTAAAAATATAAAAAATTAACCGGGCATGGTGTTGGGTGCCTGTAATCCCAGCTACTGAGGAGGCTAAGGCAGGAGAATCACTTGAACCTGGGAGCCTGAGCCGAGATCTTGCCATTGCACTCCAGCCTGGGCGACAAGAGCAAAACTTCATCTCAAAAAAAAAAAAAAAAAAAAAATTTACACAAGTACTAAATTGAATGTATGATCCGCCTCCCTCAAACCTGCTCTTCTTCCAGTACTCCTGATCTCAGGAAATGGTACCACTCAGTTTCTCAAAGCAAAAGTCAGGGAATCATCTCTGACACTTTTCTGTACGTCACTACCATCTCAGCCAAACAATTACCAAATCCCATTAATATTCTCTCCTAGGCTGAGCACAGTGGCTCACATCTGTAATCCCAGCATATTGGGAGGCTGAGGCAGGTGGATTGCTTGAGGCCAGCAGTTCGAGACCCGCCTGGCCAACAGCAAAACCCCATCTCTACTAAAAATACAAAAATTAGCCATGTGTGATGGTGCATGTCTGTAGTCCCAGCTACTGAGGAGGCTTAGGCACAAGAATTGCCGGAACCAGAAGGCAGAGGTTGGAGTGAGCCGAGATTGCACCACTGCACTCCAACCTGGACAACAGAGTGAGACTCTGTCTCAAAAACAAACAAAAAAAAATTATCCTTCCTAAATATCTCTCATATTAATCAACACTATAACCTCTGCATTAATAATACAAGTCACCATCACTTTTGGTCTGGAACACAGTAATAGGTACGTAACTAATCTTCATGAATATTTTCTTCCTCCTTTTCAATCACTTGTCCACATCCAAGACTGATCTTTTTAAAACACATATTACAGTATACCCTTCTTATGAGTTTCCATTGCTCTCAGAATGAAGTCCAAAATCCTTAACTTGGCGTGCAAAGCCCTAATAATCTGACTCCTGCTTACTTCTCTGGCTTCATCTCCTACCACTCTCTTCTTTGCTGTTATGTTCCACTCGTGCAAGCCCCATTCTCCTTCTCTTCCCAGGGCCTTTGCATCTGTTATAGCCAGTGTCCAATAACTCTTCCCTGCCCATCTCGCTTCCCAACTCCTTTGCCTATCTCTCACCTATTCATCTTCCATGTTTTAGCTAAAGTACTGCTTCCTTGGAAGGGCCCTCCTGACCCCCAAACTAAGTAGTGTCCCTTATTATAAAGTTTCAAAGCCCCTTATGCCTTTCCTTCATAGGATTTAGCACTATTATAATTAACTAATTATTTCTGAATTAATATTTTAATGTCTGGCTTCCCCCACTAGACTTTAAACTACAAAAGGGCTGGAACTGTATAAACTTGTTCACCATGACATCCCCAGTGCCTGACAAAGTACCTAATACATACTTGACATTCAGTAAATACAGGTCAAAAGAATAAATTATTGAATAAATGAGCAAAAAAATTTCCTGAAGAAATGAACTAAAACTAAGCCAATGGACGAATAACAGGCAAGCAGAGAGCCAAATTATGAATGAACTCCCATTGACAATTGCTACAAAGAAAATAAAATACCTAGCAATACAGCTAACAAGGGACATGAAGGACCTCTTCAAGGAGAACTACAAACCACTGCTCCAAGAAATCAGAGAGGACACAAACTAACAGAAAAACATTCCATGCTCATGGATCTCATGGATAGGAAGAATTAATATCATGAAAATGGCCATATTGCCCAAAGTAATTTATAGATTCAATGCTATTCCCATTAAACTACCATTGACATTCTTTGCAGAATTTTAAAAAACTATTTTAAAATTCACACAAAACCAAAAAGGAGCCTGTATAGCCAAGACAATCTGAAGCAAAAAGAATGAAGCTGCAGGCATCACGCTACCCAACTTCAAACTATACTACAAGGCTCTAGTAATCAAAACAGCTTGGTACTGATACAAAAACAGACACATAGACCAATGCAACAGAACAAAGAACTCAGAAATAAGACCACACACCTACAACCATCTGGTCTTCAACAAACCTGACAAAAACAAGCAATGGGGAAAGGATTCCCTATTTAACAAATGATGCTGGGAGAACCGGTTAGCCATATGCATGAAACTGAAACTGGACCCCTTCCTTACACTTTACACAAAAATTGACTCAAGATGGATTATAGACTTAAATGTAAAACCCAAAACTACAGAAAAAACCCAAAACCTAGAAGAAAATCTAAGCAATACCATTCAGAACATAGACACAAGTAAAGATTTCATGATGAAAATGCCAAAAGCAATTGGAACAAAAGCAAAATTGACAAATGGGATCTAATTAAACTAAAGAACTTCTGCATCGCAAAAGAAACTACCATGGTAGAAAATGGGAGAAAATTTTTTCAATCTATCCATTCTACAAAGATCTAATATTCAAACTCTACAAGGAACTTAAACAAATTTACAAGAAAAAACAAAAAACCCATTAAAAAGTGCACTAAGGACATGAACAGATACTTCTCAAAAGAAGACATTCATGCGGCCAACAAACATATAAAAAAAAAGCTCAACATCACTGATCATTAGAGAAATGCACAACAAAACCACAATGAGATACCATCTCACACCAATCAGAATGGCAATTACTAAAAAGCCAAGAAACAACAAATGCTGGCAAGCTTGCAGAGAAATAGGAATGCTTTTACACTGTTGGTGGGAGTGTAAATTAATTCAATCATCGTGGAAGACAGTGTGGCAATTCCTCAAAGACCTAGAGGCAGAAATACCATTTGACCCAGCAATGCCATTACTGGGTATATACACAAAGGAATATAAATCATTCTATTATAAATATACATGCACACATATGTTCATTGCAGCACTATTCACAATAGCAAAGACATGAAATCAACCCAAATGCCCATCAATGATAGACTGAATAAAGAAAATGTGATACACATACACAAAGGAATACTATGCAGCCATAAAAAGGAATGAGATTATGTCCTTTGCAGGGACATGGATGGAGCTGGAAGTCATCATTCTCAGCAAACTAATGCAGGAAAAGAAAACCAAACACTGTGTGTTCTCACTTATAAGCAGGAGTTGAACAATAAGAACACATGGACACATGGAAGGGAACAACACACACTGGGGCCTGTTGGAGGTTGTCGGGGAGAGGGAGAGCTTCAGGAAAAATAGCTAATGGATGCTGAACTTAATACCTAGGTGACAGGATGATTTGTACAGCAAACCACCATGGCACACGTTTACCTATGTAACAAACCTGCGCATCCTGCACATGTACCCCGGAACTTACAATAAAAGTTGGGGGAAAAAAAAAAACTAAGCCAATGTTTAAGGCAGTGCTGAAATATAAGGAATGCTACAAGAATGAACATAAACCACAGGAGAAAGATGGCTTCTTGAACTGTATTTGGAATTGTATTAAGATGGCAGCTGAAGGTAGTGATGGAAGTAGAAATTAAAGTTGAATTTTGGGACCATGCTCTCTTATTTAATTATTAACTGGAAATATGCCATGGATATTGATCAATTAGAATGACAGATGACAAAGATTTTCTGGTGCTTTACAACCTTCAAAATAGTAACAAGTTAATTTGAATCTAGTCACAGAATCATTGCACAGTATTTTAACTTCTGTTTTCTCCCATAAAACAAAGAAGGCTGTTCAAAGCAATGAAATCAATGATAAAGCTAAGACTAATGCCAATTTCTAACTCCAATTCTGATTCTCCTTCTGACTACCCTGCCTTTAAAATATTTTCCTCAGATCACAAGCTAAATCTGAACAAAAGAAAATATTTGTTGTTCAGCCGGGCACGGTGGCTGATGCCTGTAATCCCAGCACTTGGGAAGGCTAAGGCAGGAGGATCACTTGAGCTCATAAGTTCAAGAACAGTCTAGGCTATGTGGCAAAACCACATCTCTACAAAAAACACAAAACTTAGTCGGGCATGATGGTGTGCACCTGTAGTCCCAGCCAGTCAGGAGGCTGAGGTGGGAGGATGGCTTGAGCCCAGAAGGTGGAGGTTGCAGTGAGCCAAGATCACACCACTAGACTCCAGCCAGAGCAATAGAGCCAGACCTCATCTCAAAAAAAAAAAGAAAAAGAAAAAACAAAAAGAAAGAAAGAAAGAAAGAAAGAAAGAAAGAAAGAAAGAAAGAAAGAAAGAAAGAAAGAAAATATCTGTTGTTCAAATATCTGTTCATTGTTTTTAGAAGTTTCAAATGACACTAACATTCCTTCCTTCTCCCCTTCTTCAGAGAATTGTACTTCATTGTTCAGTGTTCAGTAAATTTCAATATAAGGTAGTGAGGTAAGTAACTTACAGTCCACATAAATAAATACATTTGCAAAACACTGAACAGAATTTTAGGAAACTCTTACTGTGGGAAAACAAGATATTTCCATCATGTTTCAAATCTATAATTTGAAAAGCTAAGCTACAGTCATGACACAAAAAGTCTGAAAAAATGTACAATTTGATGAGGGCTTTTGTAAAAGACTTCAAATTTTCTTAAGAGTAAAGGATAAATTTTTAATTACCTCTTATTCAATCAATAAGCAAGTATAAGTACAATTATGTGTACTTTATGATCTAGAGCAAGTGATGATGGTAAAGGTCAGTATATCAAAGAAAGGGGCATTCTAAAATTAAGATTATAATTTAACTACGAGGCCCTCAAATACTACCTAATCAATCAGAGAAAGATGACCTTTGGAACTACAGCTATTGGCTACAGAAAAAAAGTAAAAACTTTCTGTTGCTCCCTAATTCCCTTATTTGGAAACTGTCTCCCATGAGTTTATAAACTACATAAATTTTTCACATATAGGCCAGGCACAGTGGCTCACGCCTGTAATCCTAGCACTTTGGGAGGCCGAGGTGAGCAGATCACTTGAGGTCAGAAGTTTGAGACCAGCCTGGCCAATAAGGTGAAAACCCATCTCTACTATTAGCTGGCATGGTAGTACCGTGCCTGTAATGTCAGCTACTCAGAAGGCTGAGGCAGGAGAATCACTTGAACCCAGAAAGCAGAGGCTGGAGAGAGCCGAGATTGTGCAACTGCACTCCAGCCTGGGCAACAGAGTGTCTCAAAAAAGAAAAAAATATTTGCTTCACATGTGTTTTCCTTAGAGAACTAACTTCTATGGTAGAAAACTTAATATTTTTGAGGTACTCATCTCTATTTCTGCATGTGCCTCATCCCTAAAAAAGCATGTTTAATGAGATGAGGAATCATTCATAATCAAATCATAATAAAATATAAATATACCGTTTGCATCTTTGGGGCACAGGCCCTGCTGACCATACGTAGAAGTTCATGGACACCTCGATAACTCAGACCAGTCATCTTCATAAGCTCCAGTGGGGAAAGACATAAAAAGTCCTAAAGAAACATAAAGAGAGTATTTTAAACATATATGTGTAACAAAGATATTAGAGTTAAAAGGAAACCTTCAATTGATACTGCTTATGTAGACAAAAGTATAATTTATTGCAGATCAAAGATTTATACATTCATTATAGTAAGATAAAACCTTAAATCTAGCCAGGCACAGTGGTGTGTGCCTGTAATCCCAGCTACCTGGGAGTTGAGGCTGGAGGATTGCTTAAGTCCAGGAGTTCAAGACCAGCTAGGGCAACATGAGAACCTAGTCTCAAAAACAACAAAGAACAAAAACAACCAACCAAAACCTTTAAATCTTATTTACCCTGCTAAGGAGGATTTGCTTCACTACCTTGCTTAAAAATGCAAGATCTGCTCTATATATTTCGCATACTCCATCAATAAGAAAATGGTCTATTAATTTCTTTTGCTTTTAAGAGAAATTATGTATTTTGAATAGTATCTCCTCATTTCAGTCCTATTTCTCATGTAACTACAAATAAATAGCAAAGCTGTTACTTCACCTTATGCCATGACCACTCTCCCCTCAAAATGCAAAAATACTAAATTTGGGTAAATGAAATCGCAATTGGAAATGCACCCAAGGAAGCTTGATATTTACAATTAGCCTATGGAAAAGCACCATCATTTATCTTTTTTATTTTGTAAGCCTACATTTTCATATTTCAAGTTTGAGAAGTATTAAGGTATAAAGTTAATTTGTGCATAAAACTTCTCAATAAAAATTTTAAATAAAATTTACCTGACAGGTAAGGATCTGATGTCTACTCAGACGGTCACACAGCTCTTGTGATAAACCCACTCGTTTTAGTTTCTTGCTACCCATGCCTCCAGATCCAGCAAAGAAAAGAAGAACCATGAAAAAAAAATAGAATATAACATAAGTAATAGTGAATAGGCTATCCAAAACAAAATTAAAAATTCCTCAAGTTTCTCCATATGCAAAATGAAACATACTGTGTTAAAAATATTACTGATAAAGGAATGCTATAGAATCTTTTTAAATGTTTTAAATATGAGAGACAATTTTTTATCAAACAGGCACACAGAAAAACAAGGCAACCTCAAATATAATTTCACACAATTATTCGATATTTACTACATGAATATAGTACCACTTCACATTTGTAGAGCATGTTAAAATGTTCAATGCATGTATAAATTTTATTTGGATATGGCTAATTTTTGTATTTTTTGTAGAGACAAGGTCGCCACCATGCCCGCCCAATTTTTGTAGAGACAGGGTTTTGCCATGTTGTCCAAGCTGGTCTCGAACTCCTGGGCTCAAGTGATCCTCCCATGCTGACCTCCTAAAGTGCTGAGATTACAGGCATAAGCGAACGGGCCTGGCCCAAAATGTTCTATATTAACACTAGCTGCTTATATTCTCACATGCAGTTAAATTTCACTATTGTACCTTGCTAGGGGTAAATGAGGCTCATGAAAGATTTATCTTCAGAGAATTAAAAAAGAATTACTGTGAGTCTCTTAATTCATACAAAGGAGAAGCTATATATCTCATTGAGATGGTAGATACACATTTTTCAGTTCTTTCCAGAGGAAAGGAATAAATCCAAGGAATAAAGCAATATAGTTCTCAGAAAAGAAGTAACATTTTGGAATGAAAATATATGACTGAGAATGTACATGTACTGAGAATGTACATGTTTGTTTATTTCCAATACGATGGCCCAAATTTCTATTTAACACCTAAATTATCTAAATCAGATTGAATCAATCTCTATCTCTCTCTTTCTCACACACACACACACACACTTCTCACACACACAAAATACATCCTCCTCATTTCTCTCTATGGGAATTTGTTAGCATTGACTTGTTTCCCCCAATAGAAAACCAAGTGATACCTGCTATAACATTGCCTAGTGTCTTTTCAGATCAGGTAGTTTCAGGTAATCACACCATTTAGACTGATCAATTCAATTTTAAAAAAAAAGGAAAGAAAGAAAAGAACTATGGGCCACACAAGGCGGCTCACGCCTATAATCCCAGCACTTTGGGAGGACAAGACAGGCAAATTGCTTGAGCCCAGGAGTTTGAGACCAGCCTGGGCGACATAGAGAGAACCTGTCTCTACAAAAAATACAAAAATTAGCTGGGCGTTGTGCCGCACAACTGTAGTAGTCCTAGCTACTCAGGAGGCTGAGATGAGAGGACCATCTGAGCCCAGGAGGTCGAGGCTGCTTTGATCACGCCACTGCACTCTAGCCTGGGGAACAGACTGAGACCCTATCAAAAACAAAAGACAAACAAACAAACAAAAAGCTATAAATTCTAAACTACAGGGACTTTAACAACAACCAATTCTGCTATCTCTGCCTTAATAGGGCCACTCCCATCGCTTGCCTGGACTATTGCATATTGTTTCTGGCCACTCCATTCATTTGTTCCTTAATTGGCTCCTTCCACAGGCATTTAAATACACACCCTGCTGAGCTCTGGGGTACAAGAATAATTTAAGCATATCACCTCCCCTTTGAATACTCATAGTTAAGAGATGAAAAGAGAGGTACACACAAATAACTACAGTCATGCAGTAAGTATCGCAATTGCTATTTAAAAGTGCTATGGGAGCAGACAGGAAGAAGTCCCAAATTCGCCTGCAAAAGTCATATCAGTGTCACAATCCTGCCCTGAGTAGCTTCCTAAAAAGACACTATCCTTTAACACTTCCCATGGGATTGGTAGACCACCGGATATATTCCTAACTTCTTAGGATCACATAGAAAAACATCAAAAATTTGTCCCTCACTTCCTTCTCACTCATACATCACATTGCAAGGTTCAGTTCCTGTCCTTCCTGGCAGTTACTTCACCTCTCAGTGTCTTAATTTCCTTAAAACCGTTGTTTTACAGTCATATGAATTTACCACGGCATATGACTGTAGTGGAGCTTAAAGCACTCGGGGAGTGCCTGGCATATAGTACTTAAGGTCAGCAATCATCATAATGACTCTCACATGATCTGCCCTCCAGTCATATGGTATGTGTATTGGTAGGTCACGCAATTGTCATCCTGTCTCCCTGACTTCCCTCCACAAAACCTTCCCCAGGATCAAGTCTTTTCCTCTCCAAAGTTCTCATCAACTTCGTACATTATCTATTCGATAATCTTATCAAAGTATTATTATGGTTTGCGAGTTTCCTCCACCGGAGCACGTAAATTCCTGCGGTGTATGTGTGCGTGAACGCACGTGTGTTGCACTTGAGGGGAGACGGTCAACCCTGGAGAATGAACCCTGTCCTCCTCATCACCAAGAAAAGAAAATTCTTCATGTTAGATGTTCAACGACAACTGTTGAGGAACAATATTAGCTAATATTTATTGAGTCCTTTTTATGTGCCACACTGTTCCAAAGGCTTCGGATATTTTACCTTACTTTACAGGATACCGAGGCACCGAGTTGAGAAACTTGGGCAAAGTTAAACAGCTGACAATTGGTGTGAAGCTCGCATTCGAATCCAGGGACCGGACTCCAGATTCCACGGTCTCCAACACCACCTGAAGTGGGACAGTCCCTCAACTTCCCCTAATGACAGGCTACCTGAAGCGGGAAGGGGCTGGGGAGGAAGATGGGCATCAACAGGCGGAAACATCACCCGGAATCCCCTAAAAAGAGCTTTTTCCAACAATGAGCAGCTTCCAAGCATTCCCCACCAAAAGAAGGCCCGAAGCCGCCCCCACCCCCGGAATTCACGGCGGGGTTCTTAGTGAAGATCCCGACAGTCTTAAGGGGGCGTGACCAGCACCCAAGAGAAAATCTCCGCTCCCCCAATATCGACACCCACGGGCCTAGGGAAGGAGCAGGAAATAATGAGCGAACCTCACTTCCCCACAACGGCACCCCACATGAAACTTTCCAGTACCGGGTCTGCAGCATCCAACTTTCAAGTTTCCCCACCCTTTATAGTTTCCCCGCGGAAAGCGCCGCAAAGCAACAACCGAAGTACTGATTGGGTCGTCATCCTGGCTATTGTATCCAATCAGAGGCCGGCAGAGGCCCAGGTTGGGTCCGCGGCTTGCTGGGAATTGTAGTTAATACTGTGATCAGCCTAACAGATCGAATCTGAAGCAGTTCCTCAAAATAGTGATTATCAAAATCTGTTGGCGGACCATCACCAAAGAGAATGTGAGGCAAGGGAACACCCTGTTTGGAAATTTTTCTTTTTTTTTCTTTGCCAGACGGGGTCTCGCTCTGTCGCCCAGGCTGGAGTGCAGTGGCCGGATCTCCGCTCACTGCAAGCTCCACCTCCTGGGTTCGCGCCATTCTCCTGCCTCAACCTCCCGAGTAGCTGGGACTATAGGCGCCCGCCACCACGCCTGGCAAATTTTTTGTATTTTTACAAAATACAAAATACACACGGGGTTTCACCGTATTAGCCAGGATGATCTCGATTTCCTGACTTCGTGATCCGCCATTTGGGAGGCCGAGGCGGGAGGATCACTTGAGCCCAGAAGTTCGAGACCAGCTTGGGCAACATAGTGAGACACCCTCCCCCACCCCTCCACCTCTACAAAAAATACAAAAAACAGGCCGGGCGCGGTGGCTCATGCCTGTAATCCCAGCACTTTTGAAACCGCCAGTGGGTTCACCTTGCCGGCTGCCTAGACAGAGCCGATTTATCAGGACAGGGGAATTGCGATGGAGAAAGAGTAATTCACGCAGAGCCAGCTGTGCGGAAGACTGGAGTTTTATTATTACTCAAATCAGTTGTCCCGAGCATTTGGGGATCGGAGTTTTTACCAATAGTTTGGCTGGTGGGGGCTTAGGAAGTGGGGAGTGCTGATTGGTCAGGTTGGAGATGGACTCGCAAGGGGTCGGAAGTGAGGTTTTCTTAATGTCTTCTGTTCCTGGGTAAGATGGCAAAATTGGATGGGCCAGATTACTGGTCTGAGTGGTGTCAGTTGATCCATCAAGTGCAGAGTCTGCAGAATATCTCAAGCACTGATCTCAGGGCTTACAATAGTGACGTCACCCCCAGGAGCAATTTGGGGAGGTTCAGACTCTTGGAGCCAGAGGCTGCATGACCCCTAAACTGTAATTTCTAAACTTGTAGCTAATGTACTAGTCCTGCAAAGGCAGACTGGTCCCCAGGCAAGAAGTGGGTCTTTTCGGAAAGGGCTGTTATCAGTTTTGTTTCAGAGTCAAACCATGAACTGAATTCCTTCCCAAAGTTAGTTCAGTCTACACCCCGGAATGAACAAGGACAGCTTAACGGTTAGAAGCAAGATAGAGTCGGTTAGGTCTGATTTATTTCACTGTCATAATTGCCTCAGTGATAATTTTGCAAAGGCAGTTTCACTTTGGGATGCCGAGGCGGGCAGATCACTTGAACTCAGAATTTCGAAACCAGCCTGGCCAACATGGCGAAACCCCGTCTCTACTAAACATACAAAAATTAGCTGGATGTGGTGGCAGGCACCTGTGATTCCAGCCACTTGGGAGGCTGAGGTGGGAGGAGCCAGACCTTGCCTCAAAAAAAAAAAAAAAGAAGAAGAAACCTAATGGGCCAGAGAGGCATGTTAGTTTTCTCAAGAATCGAGGACAATCCACCAATCACAGAAGAGTTTTTGGAAGAAAACGTTCTGTTTGTTTTAATTTGCTCTTTTCACCACCCTTTGATGATTAAATAGTTTGGGAAATGGTGGATGAAATTACTAAACCTGAAACACACACACTGAGGAAAGCTGAGTCTGTGATTAAAGCACACCAAAGAAACCAAACAAAAGGCTTGGTGTAAGGCAGCTGTGGTGAGGAAACCTAGTAAGCTGTTACTTTAATAGTTGGTTTCAGGCCGGGGACGGTGGCTCACGCCTGTAATACCAGCACTTTGGGAGGCCGAGGTGGTGGATCACCTGAGGTCAGAAGCTCGAGACCAGCCTGGCCAACATGGTGAAACCCCATCTGTATTAAAAACACAAATATTATCTGGGCGTGGTGGTGGGAGCCTATAATCCCAGCTTCCTCGGGAGGCTGAGGGCAGGAGAATCGCTTAAACCCGGGAGGCGGAGGTTGCAGTGAACCGAGATGGCGCCACTGAACTCCAGCCTGGGCAACAGAGCGAGACTCCATCTCAAAAAAAAAGCCTTGGTTTCAGATTATTATGTTTGCGAAAAAGCCTTTGTTCATTCTTTGCTCTCTGATCTCTTATGCATACTTCCGTCTTATAATTTAGCCCACTGTATCCTAATTTTTGGCCTGCATCTCCCTTGAGAAGAGGGACCTCCATTTACTCAACTTAGAGAATAGGGACTAAGCCCGGTGTAGTGGCGCAGGCCTGTAGTTCCAGCTACTACAGGAAGGCTGAGGCTGAAGGATTACTTGATCTAGGAAGTTCGAGGTTGCAATGAGCCGAGATCACACCACCGCACTCCAGCGACAGAGAGAGACCCTGTCTTTAAAAAAATAAAATAAAGCCTAGTACACCGTTCAATTAACAGTTGTAGGGTAAATGCGCAAATAAATGAATGGAGTGAAGCAGAAGAATATGGAAATTCAGACCGCAGAGTTCCGGAACAAAAGAGCCCAGTAGATGGAATAATAATGGAGGAGAACCCAGTTCTCCTAGCTCCAGGTATCCCCGCGCCTGGCAAAACACCATCACCGGCTGGCGTTCACTAAATGTTGACTTCACATGTTAGGGAGATAAGAGAGTGGAAGAAAAAAAAAATCCAGGGTCACAGTTCTTCCTGCCACCTGCTCGGCCGAATGCAGAACTGAAAGTATTGAGCGCCGAAGCTGTCACAATTGAGGGAGATGGTCCGCAGCCAGGTAGCTGATTTCCTCTTTCCGAGCTTTCTAGCTTTCCCTACTCCCGGAGAGGTGGCGTCACGTGACTCAAACAAATATGGCACTTAATTATCATCTTCCCTGCCTTGAGCCAATAGGAGTGGGGCTTTCAGACTTTGTCACCACCCCCACCACCGCGGTTCGGATGGGTTCTGTCACCTGACTCGGCTCAAACATGGCTGCGCTGAGAGCTCTCTTGCTTTGGGCGCCGGGAGCAGGTGAGTGTAAGACACCCCTGAGAAGGAGGGGCCCCTCTCCACGACCCCCGCAGGGAGCGTCCCTGCAGCCCACCCCCGCACTGCTTTCCACTTATGACACAGATTTGTCTCCTGATCGTCAATCCTCTGCCTTAACAGAGGGCTCAAACTAGAGAGGTTCCTGCTGAATTTCTCATCTTTGAGGAGGCGACCACCTGGGGATTTGGAGTGACTGGACATAAAGTTCAGTAGGGAATACGGGCGTAGAGTTGTGGGTCTGCGCCCGGGGCACATATGACTATTAATATTATTAAATATAGGAATCTGCGTAAAGAGATGGCATCCGCCCCTTGGAGAAAGTGTTTTCAAAAAGTAACGTGGGAAATTAAACTTAAAACGATACTTAGGCAAGTAAGTCCCGCCTTTCCCAGCCGGACCAGTTGCTGCTTTGTCTTAATACAGCGCCTTCTGTTTCTTCTCACTGGCGTGTGTTGTTTCTAGGAGGTACTCCGCGAATGAGAACATTGAGAATGTGTTCGGCATAACTCATTTCTTTGTATCTCCCTGCACTCCGTGCTGGGAAAATGAATCATCCATTTGGAAAAGAGGAAGCTGCTTCGCAGAAGCAGCTTTTTGGATTTTTCTGTGAATGCCTGCGGAGGGGAGAATGGGAGCTGGCACAGGCATGTGTACCTCAGCTACAGGAGGGACAAGGGGATATCCCAAAGAGGGTGGAAGACATACTTCAGGCATTGGTGGTGTGTCCAAATCTGCTGAGGTAAGAGATCTTTTTTCCTACCACACAGTCCCAGGGTGAGAGACACGTGGTTCAATATCTGGGCATTGGTCAATGTGCCCCCACTCAACTACCCTCTGAAGAATAAGCAGAGACACAGTGTATTTCATGTACTCTGAAATTTTACGTCTATAGTATACAGCCATTACTTAGTCAATATTGGCTTTAGATTATCATCTGCAACCGAATGTAAGCCTGGCCGCCAAAGTGTGCCTGAAACTGCCATTTCTTGTTTATCCTCGTTAATATAGATGGTGGAACTGCAATGGAAAGTATTTTATTTGCCTCCAAAAAAGCAAACCCTGCTCTCTTCTTGCTTATGAGATTGAAGATATTGTTGTCGCTTTACTTAAAACTTTCTATTTCGAAATAATTATAGTCTCACAAGAAGCTGCAGAAATAACAGAGTCCAGTGTATCCTTTTCCCCATTTCCCCCAATTGCGACATCTCATACAGCTGTAGTACAATATCAAAACCATGAAATTGGCATTGGTACATTACTGTTAATGACACTACGTACTTTATTTGGTTTTCAGCATTTTCTTAACCTGCCTTCATTTTTTCATTTGTAGTTTTCTGCAGTTTTATCCATATATAGATTCGTGTAATTTCACTGTAGTAAGGATCAGAACTGTTCCATCACCACAAAAGAACTCCCTCACTCCTTGGTGCTACCTCTTTGTATTTATACAACAACCCCTCCTTATTCCCTGGCAACCACAGTTCTCCATCCTAGATTTTCAGTGAAGTTCCTCCCGGTGATGCTAGTAACCTCTGGTGATACAGGATTCAAATGTACTGTTTTAAGTCTTTCCTTGGGTTTTCCTTCCTTTGACTGTTATGCTATACTGTTTACATATTGTATTAGCACATATACAATGGAGAAACTTAAGTGATCCCTTCTTTTTCTTTTTCTCCTTTAATTTGAGATCTAGTCAGTTATCGTCTAAATTCCTAACTTCAGAGAAAGGCTTATGAATTCCTAAAGTCCTGTTTTTAGCATATAGTTAAAAATAAATTTGTATGAAATTCCTTTTTTAAGACTATCTGATTCACTTTCTGTATTAAAAAAATATGCTTTAGATAGTATTAACTATTATGGTTTTCTCTGTAATATTGTTTTGTTTTAAACTAAGATAGGGAGGTGGAGGTGAGATTAAGGCTTTTTATGAAAGCTGCTAGCTCTGTTCTGTTTCTAATTTTTTTGTTTGTTTTTTTGTTTTGGAGACAGAGTCTTGCTCTGTCGCCCAGGCTGTAGTGCAGTGGCACAATCTAGGCTCACTGTAACCTCCCCCTCCCGGGTTCAAGTGATTCTCCTGCCTCAACCTCCTGAGTAGGTGGGAGTACAGGCGCCTGCCACCACACTTGGCTAATTTTTGCATTTTTAGTAGAGATGGGGTTTCATCATGTTGGCCAGGCTGGTCTTGAACTCATGACCACAGGTGATCCCCCACCTTAGCCTCCCAAAGTGCTGAGATTACTGGTGTGAGCCACCTTGCCCGGCCTGGTTCCAATGTTTTATTGAACTGTCATATACATTTAAAAATATCTCATTAGGGCAATGTCTTGCCTGTTCAGGTTTAAAACAGAATGAGCAATAAACTCTGTCTTGGATGACAAAAGATGAAAGATCAGTAGAAACTCTTTTTTACAAGTCTTTCTTTACACCTTTTTCAGATGTGGGCAGGACATCAACCCTCAAAGGTTAGCCTGGGTCTGGCTTCTTGTACTGGAGAAATGGTTGGCCCGGGAAAAGGTAAGTAGGTTTATATTAAATTTTCCCCCGAGGCCAGGACTGAGAAGAACTTGAAAGCAGTTGTGGGATTTCCCTTCTGTCTGTTACTTCCTTTATGTTTAAATTCATCATACTCATTCTCAGAGAATGGCTTAAATTTTTATTGCTGTCTCCTTACCTAAATTCATTCATTAATGCACTAACATACATTGGCATATAGTACAGTTTGTTAAATACCACTATGAGTCTTATGTCTAAAGAGAACTTTTGGAAACTCAGTGAAAGTAACAAAATAGCAACTAAAATATGAATCTGTAACATTTGGATCTATTCAACATTTAAGTAATAGAGAATGTGCTGAGCTGAAACTTGGTTTTTCTTCCAAAAATCCTATTTTAACTAGCCTAATTCCATGACATCTCATAGAATCAAATTCCATTAATTTGTAGTTTACTAATTCACATGAATTGAACAGAAAATTACCAAATATAAAAACAAGTAAGCAAATTAATATTGAAAAAAACTTGTAAGGAATTACTTTTTTTAAAGATAAACTTCCATTAAAAGCCCTTTTAGAAGTATGTGTTAATTATCAGAAATTGATATCTATAAAAGAATTTCTCTGAGACATTTTCATATTGAACCTCAGACTTTGAGATTTAAGTAAAGAACCTCTAACTTAGAAATGACTGGCCCAAGGACACACTGTAAAGTTATTTGATAGAACTGGTGCTGAAGCCAAGATATTCTGACCTCAATCCTCTGCGTTTTCCACCTTAACACTACTTTTTTAGCCCAGAGGGACTTAAAACTAAGAAACCACAAATTCTACTTTTAAAATGTCTATCATTTTGCCAGTTTTTAAAATTTTTGCTCCTCTTGGTCACCAGAATTAATTTTGTCTTTAGTTACACATTTGCGTGACATTTGTCGTTCTTCACATAGCTGTCAAAAAGTAACAGAAATTGCTAATCTGAATGTATCTCTTATCCAGGATTTAGCCAGCTGTTTTGGAAAGAAAAATGACAGAAAGACTAGTAGGAGGGAGAAGAAAGAAAAACAAGATTGAAAAATAATGAAACCCAGCATAATTAAGAGTTGGCTATGGTTTCAGATTTAAAAGAGAAAACTTGAGCTAAAATAGTAACACCATAGTTACAATAGTATCTTTAAAGAGAAAAAGAATTATTGTTACTGATTAAGGATGTCTCTAGTACAAACATGGAATATTAACTTTCACCTCGGTAGAGGCTATTTGCTTACTTTATGTGTGAATGGTTGCTTATTTTCTAGACAGTTGCTCAACTATGTCAGGTGATGGGGTCTACTTCCCGTTCTCGTTTTTCCCAGGTTCACAGATAGATTATATGGTCTTCAAAGCTTCAATGACTTGCTTCTTTAAACAGTTGTGGGACTATTTTAGTTCCTCATAGAATTTTAAAACTATATAAGGCCCATGGTATCCAGTGAATTCTTGGGGTAGTTTTCCAAGTCCAGTCATTATCCTGAAGGTGCCTTCATCATCTAGGAATTTACTGGCTGCCTGTCCTTTCCCAGGCTCCCACCTTTTGCCAAAAGCTTCCCTTTTAATTATTAGGTGAAATACTAATTCTATTTTCCCTTTCCTCCATTCATTTTTGCCTTCTGCCTTTTAATCTTGCAGGGATTTATCTCTACATGTGTAAGCATTTATACAAAGATTTAGCTGCAGAAATGTTCACATCTATGCTACTTCTATTAGAGGAAAACTGGAAACAGCTTCCATGTCCACAGTATAGGACAGGTTAATAAATGGAAGTATATCTATATGTAAAATACTATACCACTATTCAAAAGTATTTGGCAAATGAGTTTTCACTAACATAGAGTGCTCATGGTCTGCTGTATAGGAAAAAAGGCAGTTTAGGAAAAAGTACATTTGGTATACATGCATAGAGATGTGTATAGCAGGCCGGGCGCGGTGGCTCACGCCTGTAATCCCAGCGCTTTGGGAGGCCGAGGCGGGCGGATCACAAGGTCAGGAGATCGAGACCACGGTGAAACCCCGTCTCTACTAAAAATACAAAAAATTAGCCGGGCGCGGTTGTGGGCGCCTGTAGTCCCAGCTACTCGGGAGGCTGAGGCAGGAGAATGGCGTGAACCCGGGAGGCGGAGCTTGCAGTGAGCCGAGATCGCACCACTGCACTCCAGCCTGGGCGACAGAGCGAGACTCCGTCTCAAAAAAAAAAAAAAAAAAAAAAAAAAAAAAAAGAGATGTGCATAGCAAATGATCTGAATGAATGGCCTTAGACCACAGTTTTAATAATTGTTCTCGCCGGGCGCGGTGGCTCAAGCCTGTAATCCCAGCACTTTGGGAGGCCGAGATGGGCGGATCACAAGGTCAGGAGATCGAGACTATCCTGGCTAACACGGTGAAACCCCGTCTCTACTAAAAAATACAAAAAACTAGTCGGGCGAGGTGGCGGGCGCCTGTAGTCCCAGCTACTGGGGAGGCTGAGGCAGGAGAATGGCGTGAACCCGGGAGGCGGAGCTTGCAGTGAGCTGAGATCCGGCCACTGTACTCCAGCCTGGGCGACAGAGCAAGACTCCTTCTCAAAAAAAAATAATAATAATAATAATTGTTCTCCTTCAGTGAGAATATATATAACATATATTTCATATGAAATATATATATTTTTTTTGGCCGGGCGCGGTGGCTCAAGCCTGTAATCCCAGCACTTTGGGAGGCCGAGGCGGGCGGATCACAAGGTCAGGAGATCGAGACCACGGTGAAACCCCGTCTCTACTAAAAATACAAAAAATTAGCCGGGCGCGGTGGCAGGCGCCTGTAGTCCCAGCTACTCAGGAGGCTGAGGCAGGAGAATGGCGGGAACCCGGGAGGCGGAGCTTGCAGTGAGCCGAGATCGCGCCACTGCACTCCAGCCTGGGCAACAGCGTGAGACTCCGTCTCAAAAAAAAAAAAAAAAAAAAAAAAAAAGAAATATATATTTTTATATATATTATTCATATATATGTTATATATTTTTCATATGTGTTACATATTTCATATATAATACATGTTATATATCATATTTCATATATGTTATATGTAAATTTCATGTCATATATATTTCATATGTAACTAAATATACAAATTAAATTTATAAAATTACAAAATTAAATATACAAATAAGCAAACTAACATATATGTTATATATATATTATATTGCACTCTAAAATATAACATATATTATATATATCTCTAAGATAAAATACTTTATCTTAGAGAAATAGCAGAAATAAGACTAACTGGACATATATATGTTCTATAGATATATAACATATTTTAGTTTACTTATTTGTATATTTAATTTTTCTACATTGAACACGCCTTGCTCTTACAGTCAGAAAATCTTGCTTAGAAATGCTGAGCAAATTCTTGCCTCTTTTAAGAAGATAAATGTTAGTCAGTTATGATCCTGAATATGTTTAAAGTAGTTTCAGCAGTAAAATAGGTATGGAATACTCAGTCTTTAGGATTCTAAATAAAATCTTAGCCAGACTATTAAGGGTCTGCTGTCCTAGACATCTTATCTATTCTTTTCTGTTAGTCTTTAGAAGCACTAATCCTCAGCTTCCCAGCATGAATTTTATCCACCAGCTTCCAATCACAGGCATTATATAAGCTTTCACATGGCCTTGATGCACATATTAGGGAAGTACATGGTTAGAAGAAATAAGATTTGGACCAAGAACATATTAGATCGTGTTAGCCTCTGATGTGATGAATGGTACATGAATGGAGATAGTTAGGTCTTGTACTCTAAACTCTCCTCACGCACGTACACACACACACACCCCTGCAGGTGTTCCTTGCCTTCCAATAAAACTCATCTTTGGGAAGCTTTAACCAGAAGCAAGATTGACAGATGTCTCATATTTAAGGTAGTGTTTCTCAGGATGAGTCTCAGACTCTTGTTATTTTTATTTGTGTCTGGAAAAGGGGAGACTCCAATTTGAGTGTTAGAGACCAGGTGAAGGTAAGTTATTGTGAAACGAGCAGGCGCAGGAAGAGTCAGAGCCTTTCTCTCTATACATTAGACCTCTCTGATGGCACGTCTCATTAACACTGGGATCACCTTTTCCTTTTCGTTTGAAAAAACTGGGAAAAATGCTTCCTAATCATTTTACCTCTAGTAAAGATTATTTGTAAAAAATTTATAAATATGTGCCACAGTTTTGTTTGATTTGGAAATTAAATGTGTTAAGAATAAAATATGGCACACAGTACCTGCGAGGTACTGGCATATAGTGACTGGTCAATAAACATCGGATTTCTCCCCCTTTACTGTTCTTCTTTCACTGCTATGCAAAGGATAGTGAATGACAAAAACAGGGGTTTGGACCAAAAGAGGATCATGTGGGCCATACCCTCCCAGGCTTACCCACAACTGGGTGTTTTGAACACAGCAAGAGAGATCCTTGGGGAAAGACCTCAAGTGACAAAAAAGGGTGAATGAAATGAACAAACCTTGGAACTTAAGGCTGATCAGTGTAGGCTTTAAGTATGTTTTTAAGAGAGGTGTATGTCCAAGTTTAGCTATTTTTATTTATAAAGAATAGTATCTGTGCCGGGCATGGTGGCTCACACCTGTAATCCCAGCACTTTGGAAGGCCGAGGCAGGGAGATCACAAGGTCAGGAGATCAAGACCATCGTGGCTAACACGGTGAAACCCCATCTCTACTAAAAATACACAAAATTAGCCAGGTGTGTTGGCATGCGCCTGTGGTCCCAACTACTCCGGAGCCTGAGGCAGGCAAATTGCTTGAACCCAGGAGGCGGAGGTTGCGGTGAGCCAAGATCACACTCCAGCCTGGGTGACAGAGGAAGACTCTATCTCAAAAAAAAAAAAAGAACAATATCTGAAAACATATCCAGGACTGTTGTGTTTAAAAATACTTTATCTTAGAGAGGCCAGGCATGGTGGCTTACATCTGTAATCCCAGCACTTTGGGAGGCCTAAGTGAGTGGATCACTTGAGGTCAGGAGTTCCAGACCAGCTTGGCCAACATGGTGACACCCTGTCTCTACTAAAAATATAAAAATTAGCTGGACGTGGTGGTACACACCTGTAATCCCAGCTACTTGGGAGACTGAGGCATGAAAATTGCTTGAACCTGGGAGGTGGAGGTTTCAGTAAGCTAAAATCATGCCACGGTACTCCAGCCTGGGCAACAGAGCAAGACTCTGTCTCAAAAAAAAGAAGTGCTTTATCTTAGAGAAATAGTAGAAATAAGACTAACTGGATAACTGGACAGAAATATTTAACTAAATTGGTTAACTAAAACATGTATCTCATCTCTATGCTTCCTTCTTATGATTCTTCTAGAAGTTACTCCCAGTTGTTTTCCGGAGAAAGCTTGAGTTTCTTTTATTGTCAGAAGACCTCCAAGGTGACATTCCAGAGAACATCCTCGAGGTGAGAGAGGGCCCTGGTGCCATCCACCCAGGGTTGACAGTCACTCAAGCAGCTTAGCTTCCAGGGATCCAGAAGAGACAGGTCTCCAAGATGTTGCCTATACTTTGTTCTCAGGCAAGGCAACACTGAAGCTCCTTTGAGGAGAGTTTAGAGTTAGGGTAAACTTATATGATTTTAGAATTTTTGAGGTGGTTGTCCAGAAGTACCAAGTATAACTGGGAATTAAAGATTTATTAATAGATAGCAGGAAATATGGAGGGGACAAGGAACTAGTATTCATTGACTATCTTTTCTATAACAGGTTCACTGAATGTGTTAGAGTTAATTCTCATCACAACCTTCTAGGGGTAGATTCACACCAAGTCTTAGTTATATCATTATAACATGTATCAGTTACTACTTTAGTGCCTGAGATATGCTCTGAGGCCCAATACTTATTTTCTTAATGACCCTGCCACCAGTTAATTAAAGACATAGTTACAGTAGGATTTAAGAGAGGGACTTTCACTTGTATTAGGTAAAGGACTCATGGTCTTGCAGTCCATCTCTGAGGCAGTGAGTGAAGAGGCATCATTGAGCACCATCTACAGGCATGGTGCTCAAGTGTGGGAAATAACCTACTTCTCACCCCCTTCTCTCCCTGTACCTTCACCCTGCAAACAGAGGACAGGCTCGAGAGGTTCTTGCTTTTAGGTGACTGAGGAAGGAGGACTAAAACACACACTATCATGTATTAAATCATATGGTACTAATTTTAAGTACATCGAAGCTATATGGGTTGGAGGTATTGGAGAAGGTTTTATGGAAGGATAAAGAATGGACTGAAAGCATGGCTAGGATTTAGATCAAGGGTTAAAAACTGACGTTCTTTTAAAAATTGAATGTAAATGCCTTTAGATGGGCATAATATCTTACCTGATCTGTGAGTTGGCAGACCTTGATTCACATCACCAGTACACATTTTAGAGACAGTGAGGTGGGACTAGCTTGAGCATGGAGGCCCTGGGCAATTGAGTTCATCTCTCCCAGCCTCCAACTCATTTATAAAATAGGAGTAAAAGTAGTATCTTCCTCTGAAGACTATTAATTTGATTTTTCTGTGTAAAGGGCCTTAGAATAGTGTCTAACACATAGTAACTACTATATAAGTATTTGCTACTGCTACTATTATATAAGTAAACTGAAAAAGAGGAAAGCATGAAGGCACACAAGTGATACCATTCCAGGCATGCCCACCACCCATCCCTCTCTTCATCCTCTATTTAGGAGCTGTATGAGACCTTAACACAGGGTGCAGTAGGCCCCATGCCTGATGGAAATCCAAGGAGGGAGAGCTGTACTCCTCGTCTCAGCTCCGAAGCTATCTCTGTGCTCTGGGATCTCCTGAGGCAGTCTCCCCAGCCAGCACAGGCCCTGCTGGAGCTCCTGCTTGGGGAGGATGACGGCACTGGCTTCTGTCACTGGCCTCTGCAGAATGCACTGGTGGACCTCATTCGAAAGGCATTGAGGGCTTTGCAGGGCCCTGATTCAGTGCCCCCTGGGGTAGTCGATGCCATCTATGGAGCTCTGCGTACTCTGCGTTGCCCTGCAGAACCACTTGGGGTTGAGTTGCGTCTCCTGTGTGAGGAACTACTAGAGGCCTGCAGGACTGAGGGGAGTCCCCTGCGGGAGGAGCGGCTGCTCAGCTGCCTGCTGCACAAGGCCAGCCGGGGCCTGGTGTCCCTGTATGGCCATACCTATGCAGAGAAGGTCACAGAAAAGCCACTGAGGGCTACAGCCTGGGGAAAAGGTGTGTTCCCTTTGCTGCTGTTCCTTTAGTTTCAGTAATTCCAGTATGCCCAGCTTTGCTGGAGGCTCTAGACTGGTGCCTTCCATGTGGCTCAGGACATCCAATGGGGGAGGCTAAGCAAAAATGGGTACGATGCTCTTTTGTAAAAGTACAGGCCTGGCATGGTGGCTCGGGCCTGTAATCCTAGTACTTTGGGAGGCCAAGGCAAGGAGGATCACGTGAGGCTAGGAGTTCAAGAAAAGCCTCTGCAACATAGTGAGTTCCCATCTCTACAAAAAAATTTTAGAAATTAGCTAGGCATGGTGGCCCACACCTGTGGTCTAAGCTACTCAGGAGGCTGAGGCAGGAAGATCACTGAGCCCAGGAAGTCGAGGCTGCGGTGAGCCGTGTTTGCACCACTGTATTCTAGCCTGCATGACAGAGTGAGACCCGATCTAAATAAATAAATAAATAAAGTACAGGTTTTCTAGTGTAAGATGGAGGTGTTGGGAGGAAAAAAATAAAGTAATAGCAATAGCAGGAAAGAGCTTTTCAGAAGCTCTCAAGAGAAGTAAAGATTCTTTAAGATAAAGTATGGAAAACCCAGCCTGTTCTTAAAAGAGCAAACTCGCACATCACTTGGTTGTTCAAATGGGCTCTAGCTTAGAAAAGAAGAGCTCTTGGTTTCCTGATAACCGTCTTATTTGATATTCAGTCTCACCAGATCATCTAGATCCTGAGCGGGCAATGCTAGCCCTGTTCTCCAATCCCAACCCAGCCCAGGCTTGGAAAGTGGCCTATTTCTACTGCCTGAGCAACAACAAACACTTCCTCGAGCAGATTCTGGTAAGTCAAGCTTAATCGTTCATCACAGAGGTACCCAGGGGTTCTCCCCAGACTTTTTCGTTCCTCATTTCTCTCCCACTCATTTGGCCAACATAAAGCAGTCTAATTAGTGTTGAGTCATTTGGTTTTGTCCCTCCCACAGCCCCATGGGAAAGGAGACTCTGAGAATCAGTACCATTCATACTTACAGTTGCAGTCACTTTATGTCAGTCCTTTGGCAGAAACTAAAATGTATATGTATGTGCTTTCTGGAGGATGCAAGAAAGAAAAGGCAGTGGCAACAATATGTTGCCTAGCTGACAGGAGAATTTAATTACTTTAATCTTTTCTTTCCATATTGCAACTGAGCTTCAGTTTAATTCAGCAGATACTTATTAATCTCATCCTGTGTGCCATGTACTGTAATAGGAGCTGGAGTTACAACAGAAGTCAGTCTCTGCCTTCAAAGAATTCACAGTCTAGTGTTTTCATAAACATTTATCTTACTCAATTCACCACTTCTGTTTTTTTTGTTTTTGAGACAGAGTTTCCCTCTTCTCACCCAGGCTGGAGTGGAGTGGCGCAATCTCGACTCATTGCAACCTCTGCCTCCTGGGTTCAAGTGATTCTCCTGCCTCAACCTCCCGAGTATCTGCGATTACAGGCCTGTGCCACCATGCCGGCTAATTTTCTATTTTTAGTAGAGATGGGGTTTCACCATGTTGGCCAGGCTGGTCTCGAACTCCTGACCTCAAGTGATCCACCTGCTTTGGCCTCCCAAAGTGCTGGGATTACAGGCATGAGCCACTGCGCCCAGCCAACCACTCCTGTTATTGTCAGAAATCTCCCTGCTGTACTAAAATACTTCTTTCTCTAATGAGCAGTAAGCTGGAACCCATTCTGTCTCATCCACATAGCTGCCCATAACAGCTTTCTTTGACTTACAGGTAACAGCACTAACATTGTTGAAAGAAGAAGACTTCCCAAATCTTGGCTGCCTACTTGATAGAGAATTCAGGCCCCTTAGTTGCCTGCTCGTGCTCCTGGGCTGGACACACTGCCAGAGCCTAGAGTCAGCCAAGAGTCTGCTCCAGACCCTGCACAGGACCCAGGTAACTCTCACTCAGCACCCCAGGCTGCTCTGGAAGTGAGAACCTTGGGGCTTTGGGCTTGGGCCAATGCAGAGCCCTAAAGTCAGTCATAATCCCTAACCCCAGGTGCCTGAGTCAGCATCTCTTTCTTCTCCTATATCAACATAGGACCCAGGCTGTGATGAGCTCCTCAGGGATGCCTGTGATGGGTTGTGGGCTCACCTGGAAGTCCTGGAGTGGTGCATACAGCAGAGCAGGTATGGCCCTGTGCAGGCATCCCCTGCCCACCACAGGGCACAGCTGACCCTGTACTCTGCATGTGTGGTCGTTTCAAGGCATTTTCCACATAAAGGGTTTTGAGTTGGCAATGTTGACTAGCTACTAATAATTGTTCCAGCTGTTAAACCAAGAATGAAACACAAGTAATTATTACCTTTACCATGACCATCAGGTCATAACTAGAGGATAATTTTAGGATGACAATAATAAAAAAAACAATAGCTCACATTTCCAGTGCACTTACCATAAGCCAGGCATTGCTCTAAGCCCTTTACATGGATGGTTTCAATTATGCCTCACAGTAATCCGATGGGTAGATACCAATATTATATTCATTATAAAACTCGGGCAACTGAAGCCCATACGTATAAAATAACTTGTCCAAAATCACACAGCTCATAATGTCATCCACATTCTTAGTCTTTTGTTATCCAGGATCACACTTTTATTCAACGAATGCTTATTGAACTGTGCATGAGGCCCTGTGTTTCTCTGGTAACTTAGCCTGGACCTAGGTTTCTATCTTGTTCTTCACCCACTTCACCAGCACTTTCTGAAGTACAGTGGGCAGAGGGGGAAGTAGCAAGGGGCTCTTACTCAAAGTAAAGCCAGAGAAACTTGTGTTCATTTGAAGCTAGAGAGGGTGTAGAAATTAGAAAATTCAATCTGTAGGACCTTTCTAGACTCTACTGACCTGAAAGGTCCTTTCTAGGCCCTTTCTAGACAACTAGAGCTGGTTTGATAGATGTACCTCCCTAAGGGTAAATAAATGTTATGCTCCATCCCAAACCAACGAAAATTTAGTTTGTAGGAAAGTGAAACCTGTGGCGTTATGGTCCAGAGAGGAAAAGCGAGAGGGAATGGAGATTGATCTTTCTTCGGGCAATAATATAAACTGCCTCTCTTCCATCCTTCCAACTTTCCCATTCAGCAACCCCATACCAAAGAGAGATCTGTTGTGTCATTTACACGGTGGAGACAGCCACTCAGTGCTCTACACTCTCCATCACCTTACAAACCTTCCAGCCCTCAGGGAGGAAGATGTTCTCAAGCTCTTACAGAAAGTGCCAGCCAAGGACCCCCAGCAAGAGCCTGGTGAGTTGGAGTGGAATGACCTGGCCAGCATTTCCTCTTAGGACATTCCTGCACATTTCTTCCCGCATGAGATTTGTCCAGATGTGATTGCTGAGATCTTTCAAGAGGGTGGTGAGCAAGTCTCCTCTAAATGAGCACTGTTTGTCCTAATCAGATTATGAGATATAGGGCATTCCTCTTCTTTCTTGGTGAAGTGTAGGGAATCCTGTGAGCATGGTCCTGCATTCGTTGTCCTTGTGGAACCATCACAGGAGTACAGCCTCATTCCAGTGAAACAGAATTAGAAATTGCCCTCTGAATACACAGCATTGTCAGACAGTGTTTATGCAAATTCTTAGTGGGTGGCTTCATGTCTTATAAGCTTTCTGATAGCATATTTTGTGCCTTTTCTCCCATGTCCATTTCATACTCCATGTAACAGATCAGGAGGTTTAGAAGAAAGACTTGCCTGGGCCGAGCACAGTGGCTCACGCCTGTAATCCCAGCACTTTGGGAGGCTGAGGCTGGTGGATCACTTGAGGTCAGGAGTTCAAGACCAGCCTGGTGAACATGATGAAACCCTGTCTCTACCAAAAATATAAAAAATTAGCCAGGTGTGGTGGTGCACGCCTGTAATCCCAGCTACTCAGGAGTCTGAGGCAGGAGAATTGCTTGAACCAGGGAGGTGGAGGTTGCAGTAAGCCAAAATGGCGCCACTGCACTCCAGCCTGGGTGACAGAGGGAGACTCCATCCAAAAAAGAAAAAAGAAGAAGAAGAAGAAGAAGAAGGACTTCTTGTCTGAAACAGGAACAAAGCCTTTTTTTAACCTAAGATCTTTGCTTAAATTCAAGACCCCATTAAAAAGCTCTCTCTTTTTCTTTAAGTTTTATCTTATTTCCCTCCTCTCTCAAATGAATTCTCACCATGGTTTTTTGTTCGTTTGTTTGTTTTTGAGAAAGGGTCTTGCTATGTTGCCCAGGCTAGTCTCGAACTCTTGGGCTCAAGTGATCTTCCTGTCTCAGCCTCCCCAGTAGGTGGGACTACAGGCACTTATCACTACACCCCATATAATTTTACCCTATTTTAAATTGACTAATAATAATTGTATCTATTTTGGGAATATATATTGATGCATGTATACATTGTGGAATGTATACATTTCTTTTTGTTCTTAAGAAATGTATCATTGTGTAGTCACAGTCTGCCACACAGGTCAGAGACACTTACCTTTGAGAGACACAAACTTTCTTATATGGCAGTTGAGGTTTCGCAGCCTGGATGTTGCTTTACTTTTTGAAAGGACCTACTGCTAATTGCAGAACCAGTGTTATTACATTCCCTGTTTTTTTTTTTTTTCTGGAAAGATAGGCAGCTTGCTTAGCAGATTTCCTATAGGAATAGGAACTCTGCTCCTACATGTAAGTATACAGGCCTTCCAAAGAAATGCAATATTTTAAATCTGATCCCTGGACCCACGGGGCACACTTGGAAAAGGCAAAAAAGGGCAATAATAAGGCTGCAACTAGGGTGAGGCAAGAGAGACCTTTAAGGTGCAAATTTTAAGGAGGCACTCACTGTCAGGTGTAAGACCTGGCCCTGGGCAATAATGCCATGTAGAAGTCATGAGATATGTAGAAGAGAGGTGAGTGGGGGAAAGGAAGTGCAGGAAACTGAAAATTGATACTGACTAGAGGGAAAGCCCTAGAAGTGACACAGATCAGACCGACAGAAAGGAGAGAGGGTAAGAACCTACAAGTGGACCTGTAAGTACGGCATAGCATCTCTTTGCTTCACCCATATTTGCAGCCTGAATGAATTAACTCTCAAGTTCAGCCTGTTTCTCTCTATAATTCAGATGCAGTTGATGCTCCAGTCCCTGAGCACCTGAGCCAGTGTCAGAACCTGACACTCTACCAGGGCTTCTGTGCCATGAAGTATGCCATCTATGCACTCTGTGTAAACTCACACCAGCACTCCCAGTGCCAGGACTGCAAAGACAGCCTCTCTGAGGACCTGACCTCAGCTGCAGAGCCAGCGAATGACTCTCTTTCCTCCCCAGGTACGGCACTTCCCTCCATCTCTGACATAAGCTGGTAACAACCTATGCCAGTGCGAGCTTTGTGTGTTTACCCTCTTCCATCAAGATTGGGAGTGAGGTGATGGCCTTGGTTTTATTTTACCCAGAGATAGAGTTTCATCCGTCTGTCAGCCTCTGAATCGAAGGGACATGGAAAAAGCAAGTGATTGCCTGTTTTAACAGAGTCTGATCTCCCAGTGTGGTGTTTTCCAAATGCTTTTTTTAAAAACTATATTTCACGGTAGGAATGGCATTTTACATCCTACTCCAGTTTGCACCTAGGTATATAATTTGTGTGTTTACATATGTATGTGTATATACGTGATCTACAAACCAAGTTTTTTTTTTTTTGTTTTTGTTTTTTGAGACGGAGTCTCGCTCTGTCACCCAGGCTGGAGTGCAGTGGCCGGATCTCAGCTCACTGCAAGCTCCGCCTCCCGGGTTCACGCCATTCTCCTGCCTCAGCCTCCCGAGTAGCTGGGACTACAGGCGCCTGCCACCTCGCCCGGCTAAGTTTTTGTATTTTTAGTAGAGACGGGGTTTCACTGTGTTAGCCAGGATGGTCTCGATCTCCTGACCTCGTGATCCGCCCATCTCGGCCTCCCAAAGTGCTGGGATTACAGGCTTGAGCCACCGCGCCCGGCCTACAAACCAAGTTTTAAAAACAATGCTTACTTCACAGAGCACACTCCTGATTATTTTTGTTTCCTGTTTCATCTTTTTAAATGTAGCCTTCTAAGGTGATTTCATAGGTCATAGCCTACAGTGTGAAAAGTACCAACCTAATGGTCCTATCCTCTCATTTTTCTTAATAATTTACAATTCCTTAACTTGCCTTCTGTGACTAGTGGTCAGTTTTCCCTCTCTCCTAGCTTTGGAATAGACCTTTACCTCTTAGCATGGTCATTTTTGCCTATTAAGGATTTGTTAAGAGATCTAGGTAGGCATGATCATCTCTTTTTTTTTTTTTTTTTTTTTTTTGGAACGGAATCTCGCTCTGTCGCCCAGGCTGGAGTGCAGTGGTGCGATCTCGGCTCACTGCAAGCTCCGCCTCCCGGGTTCAAGCCATTCTCCTGCCTCAGCCTCCTGAGTAGGTAGCACTACAGGTGTCCACCACCACACCCGGCTAATTTTTTGTATTTTTAGTAGAGACGGGGTTTCACCATGTTAGCCAGGATGGTCTCGATGTCCTGACCTTGTGATCCACCCGCCTCGGCCTCCCAAAGTGCTGGGATTACAGGTGTGAGCCACTGCGCCCAGCCCACCATGATCACCTTTAGTGTAAAAATAAGTGGAAATAGAATTGAGGAGTAAAGTGTCTGCATGTCACCTTCATTCCTGGAACTGAAATATGGAGTCCTTATTAGGGATGAAGAACAATGTAATATTCACAAAGCAGATACAAAATAATGAGTTTTCAGTAAGCTGTACTTTTTTTTTTTTCCTTTGAGACAGAGTCTCGCTCTGTCACCCAGGCTGGAGTGCAGTGGCACGATCTCGGCTCACTGCAACCTCCGCCTCCTGGGTTCAAGGGATTCTCCTGCCTCAGCCTGTTGAGTAGCTGGAATTATAGGCTCCCACCACCATGCCTGGCTAATTTTTGTATTTTAGTAGAGACGGCGTTTCACCAGTTGGCCAGGCTGGTGTCAAACTCCTGACCTCAGGTGATCCGCCTGCCTCAGCCTCCCAAAGTGCTGGGATTACAGGCATGAGCCACTGCCCATGGCCAGCTGTACTTTTGAAATAGCAAAATCTTTCTGCAAATCATGACGAGACATCCTAAGAAGTCTCTCTTATTCTTCTCACTGTAACCTCAGTTCCCTTATAATTAAAAAATAAATAAATGAGCTAAAGTTGTGAGAATGTTTGACTCTGGGAGGTAATGTTTCTAATGTTTGCATTCTCTGTCTTCTCTTTCTCTGGCCTCGTCTCTTGTACATGTTTTTGTAGGTGCTGCAAATCCCTTCTCAACTTACCTAGCCAGGTGTCAACAGTATCTGTGCAGTATTCCTGACTCTTTGTGCCTGGAGCTTCTGGAAAACATCTTCTCATTGCTTCTCATCACCTCTGCTGATCTTCACCCAGAGCCTCATTTGCCTGAGGACTATGCTGAGGATGATGACATTGAGGGGAAGAGCCCCTCAGATTTGAGGTCCCCGTCAGAGAGCCCTCAGCACATAGCACATCCAGAAAGGAAGTCAGAGCGGGGTTCCCTGGGAGTCCCAAAGACCCTTGCTTATACAATGCCAAGCTGTGTGAAGGCAGAGCCAAAAGACAGTTACCCAGGGCCTCATAGGCACAGCTTTTTGGACTTAAAACACTTTACTAGTGGTATCAGTGGATTTCTGGCTGATGAATTTGCAATAGGGGCCTTCCTCAGGCTTCTCCAAGAACAACTGGATGAGATCAGTAGCCGCATTCCCCCTGAGAAGCCAAAGCAAGAAGGTCAGAGCTGCTCAGGAAGCAGAGATGGACTGCAGAGTCGCCTGCATCGACTTTCCAAGGTTGTCTCTGAAGCCCAGTGGAGATACAAAGTGGTAACAAGCAACCATCATTCAGGTGAGAGGAGGGTGGAACTGGTGGAACCAGAAGGTGGGGAGGGAGAAAGATCATGGGAATATGGGAGAGAGCTAGAAGTACATGGAAGTCACCCCGTAACTCAGGGCATATCATCACCATGGCAACCAGTGTAGAACACTGGGTTATGCTCCGTGTCTCAGAGCCCAGTGCAAACCTTCCCCCACCTGTTATGCCAAGAGGGGGCCAAATCAAAGTTGATCACTCTCCTGTGTGTCCTATTGGGTTTGCTCTTTCAGAGGAGCAACCTTCCCGAAGATACCGGCCTGCCACACGGCACCCCAGTGTCCGCCGGGGTCGTCGGACAAGAAGGAGCCAGGCAGGTAATCTGAAGAGCTCATTCCCATGCATTAGGCAAGTGGTGTAATGCTACTTGTCTAATACTCTTTAAGAAACAGCACATGGTCAAAGACAACAAAAGTGTTGTAAAATTATCCTATTCCCACTCCCTCAAGGTAACCCTTGTTAATAGTTTCCTGTGTATCCTTCCAGAAATTTTCCATGCAATATAAACTTGTATACCCTTTTATATATAGACATGCATTATACTATATATTGAGAACTGCAGCTTGCTTTTTTCGTTTATATCCTATTATATATACAGATGTATTGTACTATAAATTGAGAACTTTTTTCACTTATCATTTTAAATAGTGCTTAGTATTCCATTGTCAAAAACACCCTGTTCATGTACATTTAAGTCTCCAGTTGTTTACTATTATAAACAGTGCTGTAGTAAACAACCTTATACATTTCTGTGCATACTTGTGTAAATATAGGATAAGCTCCTAGCAGCAGAATTACTAGATGTATGTGGATATAAAATATAGATAGATATTACCCAGTTGCCTTAAAAATAAGATAGACCAATATGTATTTCTTTTTTTCTGTAAGAGTTAATACTAAGTATTCATTGTATGCCAGATGCTGCTCTACATTCCTTATATTTGTAATTGTTCACTTATTTAATCCTCACAATACTATGAAGTAGGTCTTATTATTTTTCCCCTTTTATTTTTATTTCCTGTTTTGTTTTGTTTTGTTTTGTTTTTTGAGATGGAGTCTCACTCTGTTGCCCAGGCTAGAGTGCAGTGGTGCGATCTCAGCTCAATGCAGCCTCCACCTCCTGGGTTCAAGCGATTCTTGTGCCTCAACCTCCTGAGTAACTGGGATTACAGGTGCGCGCTGCCACGGCCGGCTAATGTTTGTATTTTTAGTAGAGACAGGATTTTGCCATGTTGGCCAGGCTGATCTTGAACTCCTGACCTGAAGTGATCTGCCCGTCTAGGCCTCCCAAAGTGCTGGAATTACAGGCATGAGTCACTGGGCCCGGCCTCCCTTTTATTTTTAGTTGGCATGTAATAATTGTACATACTTAAGGGATACACAATGATATTTCAATATGTTTATAAAATGTGTAATGATCAAATTGGAGTAATATCTTATCTATCACCTCAAACATTTGTCATTTCTTTGTATTGTGAACATTCAAAATCCTTTCTTTGGCCGAGCATAGTGGCTCACACCTGTAATCCCAGCATTCTGGGAGGCTGAGGCAGATGGATCACTTGAGGCAAGGGGTTCAAGACCAGCCTGGCTAACATAGTGAAACCCTGTCTCTACTAAAAATATGAAAGTTAGCTGGGTGTGGTGGTGGGCGCCCAGCTCGGGAGGCTGAGGCATGAGAATCACTTAAACCTGGGAGGCAGAGGTTGCAGTGAGCTGAGATTGTGTCTCGGCACTCCAGCCTGGGTGACAGAGTGAGACTCCATCTCAAAAAAAAAAAAAATCTTTCTTCTAGCTTTTTGAGAATATATAATAGATTATAGTTAACCATATTCATCCTGCAGTGCTACAGAACAGCAGAACTGATCCCTCCTATCTAGCTCTGATTTTATATTCATTAATCACCCTCTCCCCATCCTTCTCTCCCTCCTATTATTTATAGTTCTGTAAGCTATATGTGGTTGCCTATTTGCACATACTCTCATCAGTCAGTAGTAGATTTTTTAAAACCTTCACCAGTATACTTAATATCATAATGATGTTTCATTGCTTTAGTAGTATTTTTTTAGTTTTGAGATTGAATATCTTTTCATATATTTATTGGCTGTTTATATTTTTTTGTAAACTGCCTAATGTCTAAGGTCCATTTTTCCTTAGGAATCTCTTTCATGTTGAATTGTAGAAAGCTCTTTATACATTAAGGAAAATATTTTCTCATCATGTGCTATTATTTTTTCTCTATTTTGCCTTTTGATTCCACTTATGGACTTTTCTTAGAGAAGTTAATACAGGCACATTATGCAGGAGTATTAAATTTTTAGAGAATCAAGTTTTCATTATGGCTTTTGGTGTTGATCTTTTAAAAATTAAAAGGAATTCATGAGGATTTCCCATGGGCTAAACAGTACTAGGTGTCTTGAGGGAGGTAAATGAGGCACAAGCTAGGCTTTTGACTTCAAACAATTTGTAATGTACCTGCTTAGACATTATACATGGAAAGTTTAAAGTGACCTGAGGCCCTGCTTGAAAACAGAAGAAATGTCTTAAAACAGAGTATCAGCATGACCTGCAGATGTAAGGGCAACAGATTTCATAAAGGAGTTGACTCTTGAACCAAGCTCCAGAGAATGAGTAGGCTCTAGCTAAGTGGCAACATGAAAGGTGAGCATACTGGGTGGGGTGGAGGATGCCATGAGATAAACCTTGAAGGTTGAGTTGCTAAGTCCCTTAAGCTGCTACATTAATTGGTTTGGGTCAGAAGGTAGAGTTTGCATCCACTTGACCCATTCAGTACAAGAATGCACAATCCATCATCTCTTTTCTACAGCTGTTCCTTCTAACGGGCTTCCAAACAGTGAACTGAGGGGCCTTCCTTGCATGAGGCTGAGACAGCCCCTCGAATGAGCACACTAAGAAATAGTGAGCCTCTGTTAGAAAGCTCTAGCACGTTGGAAAGCCTGGTGTTGAGAAGAGAAGAAGCTTTTTCTCTGAGACTTTGAATATCATGGTCCGTGGCCAGCCAGGTCTTAGACTTTGGTTCCCTACATTTTTTTAAAAATAGAGATAGGGTCTTGCTCTGTTGCCCAGGCTGAATTGCAGTGGCACAATCATAGCTCACTGTGACCTTGAATTCCTGGGCTCACACAATCCTTCCTGCCGCAGCCCCATGAGTAGCTGGGACTACAGATGCATGGCCCCTTGCCCAACTAATTTGTTTCTAATTTTTTGTGTAGACAGGGTCTTGCAGTGTTGCCCAGGCTGGTCTCAAACTCCTGACCTCAAGCTATCCTGCTACAATGGCCTCCCAGGGTGCTGGGATTACAGGTGTAAGCCACCACACCTAGCCAGTCGTCTGCCTTTTCAAGTGTGAGGATACCTTTTTCTATGTCGGGAAATATTGTGTCCCTACTACTTCCTGGTCATAACAGTTGTGCTTTTATTTTTTCAGAATACTGCCAGTGCTTACTGAGCAGGTGCTGATCACTGACCCCTAAAAATAACTTGAAAGTTCCTGGGGCTCTGAGACCCACAGGTTGGAAACCACTGGTATAGGCTACTGCCCAGGTGAACCCTGTTGTCATATTCAGCCCACTCTTTGCCTTTGGTCTGTAGGAGTTGTGTTTTGCTGTAGAAGGAGCAGCAGGTGTCATAGTTACTCATTGTCCTCTGTCTCTAACTACACAGATCTTGGCTGTCAAGCCAACTTCACACTTCCTACTCTGTAAGGAGCTGATGATTGACTTTCTATCTTCTTCCCAATACCCGTAGATGGCCGAGACAGAGGTTCCAACCCATCCCTGGAAAGTACAAGTAGTGAGCTGAGCACAAGTACATCAGGTATGCAGATTTCCACCAGTTGCCAACTTTGAGCAGCTTTGCCCTGGTATAGAATTGCCACACACCATGGTGTAAAGCCGGGATTGAGCAGTCAAGGTTGTTATTCAAGGTTGGCAGATGGCCAGATTTTAGCTGGGAGAAGGGAAAGGACTGTTTCATTCTCAATTTAGTTATCCAGCAACAGGGAGAAATAGAGGTAAATACTCAAAGAAGGTAGTTGGCACTTAACATCTTGTATTCAAAGATGGTAGCCTAGGTTTGCCCTTCATTTGAGGAAAAATTAAGACCTATTTACAGACCTTTTACAGAAGGACTTTGAGGAGATAAAAGTTTGGTGGTAGGTGGCAGCAATATAGCATTTCCTCAATTCCTCTTGCTTCTCTGGCCCCACGCATTCTTGTGTCCCAACAGAGGGAAGTCTGAGTGCCGTGTCTGGGCGGAATGAGCTGGACAGCAGATTGCACCCCCATCCTCAAAGTTCACTCATCCCCATGATGTTCTCCCCACCTGAGTCACTGCTGGCATCCTGCATCCTTCGTGGAAACTTTGCAGAAGCCCATCAGGTAAGGGGAGCCTGGGCCATACCTTTTCAGCCCCTGAACAACTTAGCATCAGGTAAGGCTCAGAGCATGTGCAACCAGAGCCACCTGGGAGCACTCAGGGGTCCACATCAAGCAGAAGCAGCAGAAGCAGGAGGGGGTTTCCATGTGCCCAGGCCCAGTCTTCAGCAGGGCGGATTGAAAGATACTGAATTGTTTGTGGTTCTTAACATAGCAGTGTTTTAAAAAGGTAAAAGAAAATATTCAGCCACATTCCCACCACTTAAAAACATGGAAATTTTTGTTTCTCTCCTTGACTCCTTCTCTGAACATATACATGGGTTTTTGTTTGTTTGTTTGTTTGAGATGGAGTCTTGCTCTGTTGCCTAGTCTAGAGTACAGTGCCACAATTTCTGCTCACTGCAAACTGCACCTCCCAGGTTCAAATGATTCTCCTGCCTAAGCCTCCCAAGCATCTGGGATTGCAGGTGCCCACCACACCAGGCTAATTTTTATGTTTTTTGTAGAGACAGGGTTTTGCCATGTTGGCCAGGCTGGTCTTGACCTCCTGACCTCAAGTGATCTACCTGCCTCAGCCTCCCAAACTACTGGGATTACAGGCATGAGCCACCGCACCCAGCCCATGTTTTTATCTAGTTTAAAATTTTAATACAATTTCCTTTTCTTGTCTTTTTTTTTTTTTATTTTTGACACAGAGATTTGCTCTTGTCACCCAGGCTGCTGGAGTGCAGTGGCGCGATCTCAGCTCACTGCAACCTCTACCTCCCATGTTCAACCGATTCTCCTGCCTCAGCCTCCCAAGTAGTTAGGATTACAGGCATGCACCACCATGTCTGGCTAATTTTTGTATTTTTAGTAGAGATAAGGTTTTGCAATGTTGGTCAGGCTAGTCTCAAACTCCTGACCTCAGGAGATCCACCCACCTTGGCATCCCAAAATGCTGGGATTACAGGCATAAGCCATTATGCCCAGTCTCAATAATAAATAGAATGCCAGTTCAATATACAAGAAGTATGGAGAGCTGGCAGACTAGAATATTTGTATTGTAGAGAGAAAATAGCACTGGAATGGTAATCAGAAAGACTCTGAACCTCTCTGAGCTTTGGTTTCCTCATTTGAAAACTGGAGTTAAATGTAATACCTGGTTTTTCTACCTCATAGGAATGTTAAGAGGATTACGTTCTAGCTGTGAGGAATATGAAATCCTCTACTGTTGATTAAACTTAATAGCATAAAACAGTACTCTTCTAATGTTTAAAACCCTCTTGGCATATTAATGATACTTTTACTGGTAGTAAAGTATTTGGTAGTTTATCTACTTAGCATGTAGGTCAGAATTGTTCTTTCATGTGAGTTCAGTTGTTGAGGAATAAATCTAGGGAACTCTAGGTGATAGGACAATTTTTACTTAACCTTCTCTGATCATTTTAGATCTTACACTTTAATGATAATTATGATCCTTGGAGGAGGATAGGACCCTCCCCAGCCCCAGCCTTTCTCTTTCTTTTCTTTTTTTTTTTTTTTTTTTTTTTGAGGCAGAGACTCACTCTCTCACCCAGGCTGGAGTGCAGTGGCTCAATCTTGGCTCACTGCAATCTTTGCCTCCTGGGATCAAGCGATTCTCCTGCCTCAGCCTCCTGAGTAGCTGGGACTACAGGTGCACACCACCACTCCTGGCTAATATTTACATTTTTAGTGGAGACAGGGTTTCACCACGTTGGCCAGGCTGGTTTCAAACTCCTGACCTCAAATTATCTGCCCTCCTTGGCCTCATGAAGTGCTGGGATTACAGGCACAAGCCACCATGCCAGCCAGCCCCTCCCCAGCCTTTCTAATGCTCAAATCCAGAGGAATTAACTAGGAGTCCCATGATATTTTACCCCTAAATGTCCTCCACTTCTCCTCCTTTTCTTGAGCCATGGTCTTTTTTTTTTTTTTCAGTAAAACTTTTATTTTTTGACCTGGATACAGACAGAACTAGTTGTACATATAAGAAAATACCAGAAAGTATTAACAAGAAAATAAAATTACTGGCCGGGCGCGGTGGCTCACGCCTGTAATCCCAGCACTTTGGGAGGCCGAGGCGGGCGGATCACAAGGTCAGGAGATCGAGACCACGGTGAAACCCCGCCTCTACTAAAAATACAAAAAATTAGCCGGGCGCGGTTGTGGGCGCCTGTAGTCCCAACTACTCGGGAGGCTGAGGCAGGAGAATGGCGTGAACCCGGGAGGCGGAGCTTGCAGTGAGCCGAGATCGCGCCACTGCACTCCAGCCTGGGCGACAGAGCGAGACTCCGTCTCAAAAAAAAAAAAAAGAAAAGAAAATAAAATTACTTTTAACCCTATAGTATGGAACAACCAATATTAAAAATTTACTTTTTTGGCCAATATTTCTTCAAAATATGTATGACTTTTATATAGCTGAGATTATTTCCAATCTAAAACTTTATATCATGCATTTTTACATTTTAATATTAGCGTTTGTCTTTTAACCTTGATTTTAGTGACCTTACAATAGTCTGATCAAGTAGCTGCATTTAACCCTGTTGCTCAAGATTTAGATTATTTTTAACCTTGTAATAGTTGTAATATATAGTGCCAAGGTGATTACGTTTAGGCATTAAGCCTTTTGAATTATTTTTTTAAGAAAGTTCCTCGGCCGGGCGCGGTGGCTCAAGCCTGTAATCCCAGCACTTTGGGAGGCCGAGACGGGAGGATCACGAGGTCAGGAGATCGAGACCATCTTGGCTAACAAGATGAAACCCCGTCTCTACTAAAAAAAATACAAAAAACTAGTCGGGCGAGGTGGCGGGCGCCTATAGTCCCAGCTACTCGGGAGGCTGAGGCAGGAGAATGGCGTAAACCCGGGACGTGGAGCTTGCAGTGAGCTGAGATTCGGCCATTGCACTCCAGCCTGGGCGACAGAGCAAGACTTCGTCTCAAAAAAAAAAAAAAAAAAGAAAGTTCCACATAAAAACTGCTGAGTCAAAAGATGTAAACATTTTTAAAGCTTTATGGATTGCCAAACTGCTTTTCAAAAAAATTGTGATACTTAATGTTACACTACCTCCTGAGGATTTATTTTTGCACTCTGTTATTGTGATAGATGCAAAATGGTATTGTTCCTTAAATTCCTAGATTACTGACAAGGGAAAAAATATTTCCCCATTTATATATTAGTCATATATATTTCCTCTGAAATTGTCCACATCTTTTGCCTATTTTCTACTGAGGCTTTGGTGGTTTTCTTACTTTTATGAATTATTTTTTATAGTTGAACTGCTCTTCTAACATTCAGTGCCCTTCTGACCCTACAAAGCACAAAGACATCTTAGGGCCACAGTCTAATTGTTGGCAAGATCTCCTATCTGTGGACATTCCCTAAATCAGTGAGACCACACTCTCCCTCTCCCATGACAGGTGCTGTTCACGTTCAACCTGAAGTCCTCGCCCAGTTCAGGAGAACTGATGTTCATGGAGCGCTACCAGGAAGTGATCCAAGAACTGGCCCAAGTAGAGCACAAGATTGAAAACCAGAACTCAGATGGGGGTAGCAACACCATTCGGAGAACTGGCAGTGGCCGCTCAACTCTACAGGCCATTGGCAGTGCTGCGGCAGCAGGTCAGGCTTCCCTGCTAACAACATAAGTGGTGAGGTGGCTGGGAGAGGGGGTAAAAGGGGAGAAACCACCAAAATCCTACGCTCCTCATGAGGGTGAGCAGAAATTCAATACAGGACACCTGCCTTGAAAAACAGCAAAGCTGGTACATCCAGTTTTCCAGCTGTGCCCATCCTCCTTGCCCAGGCTGTTCACATACCACCACTCGACCTTCTGCATTAAGCTTATCCTGTGTGATTTCAACAAAGACTGTGAATGCTATTTTTAACATGTGTTTTGATGGCCACTGTCTCTGGCTTCAGGAAATGGTTAGGAGTTTATTTCCTTCCCATGTAATTACTCAGGGATAAAGCATATTGTTTTACTGTTCTATTAAGTGAAGTTGAATATTAAAACGTAGGGCTGCCAGGCGCGGTGGCTCACGCCTGTAATCCCAGCACTATGGGAGGCCGAGGCGGGTGGATCACGAGGTCAGGAGATCGAGACCACTGTGAAACCCCGTCCCTACTAAAAAATACAGAAAGAAAATTAGCCAGGCGTGGTGGCGGGCGCCTGTAGTCCCAGCTACTCAGGAGGCTGAGGCGGGAAAATGGCGTGACCCAGGAGGTGGAGCTTGTAGTGAGCCGAGATTGCGCCACTGCACTCCAACCTGGGCGACAGAGCGAGACTCCATCTTTAAAAAAAAAAAAAATTTAGGCCCTAGAATTCACAGATCTCAATTTCCCAACCTTGGATGCACTGCAAGAGAGCCCATCTTTTCATTATTTCTTGAAGTTGGACTCTTGTTCCACATTTTCACAACTCTTACTGACCTAGGCTCTACATACTATGGTACCATCACATATTGCTCCCTACATATTATCCCAGAAATTTTCTATGCCTATTCACAAGAATATACACACATCATTTCTGTTTTTAATATAAGTAGTCTCTTAGGACAATACTACAGTCTACCTTGCTTTTTAGCAATGTGTTCTAGAGATCTTTTCTGATTAGCACACACAGGTCTATGTCATTCTTTCTGAACTTACTTTGAGACCCCATTTGGAAGAAGCCCTCCCTCATCTGGACCACTCTGAGTTTCTCTTGGTCTTCCTTTCATGCCACTGTTTTGAAGCTATAAGAGCGGGCCATAATGATAGTGCTAATATACATAGAAGATACTCTGTGCACATGAACCTCAAACAATTTTAAAGTAACTACTTTACCTAATAAAAGTTGTAGTGAGAATCCTTTTCACCCCTTGCTTTTTATTCCACTGCTGGGTGGCCAGGAATGGTGTTTTACTCTATCTCTGACGTGACCGACAAGCTGCTCAGCACTTCTGGAGACCCCATCCCCACGCTCCAGGAGGACTTTTGGATAAGCACGACTCTAGTGGAGCCCACTGCTCCCCTGAGAGAGGTTCTGGAAGACCTCAGCCCCCCTGCCATGGCTACATTTGACCTAGCTTGCTCTCAGTGCCAGCTCTGGAAAACCTGCAAGCAGCTTTTGGAGACGGCTGAACGGCGTTTGAATAGTAGCCTTGAAAGGCGGGGTGAGTGTGCTGTGTTAGCTGTATCCCTTCATTCTTAAATGAGATGCGTTTCTGAGAGTCTTGATAAATTGTCCAGGAAGAAAGCAGTTATTGGAGGAGGCAGATGGTGAATGGATTATGAAATTTTGTCACATACAATCTGATGGCATAAATATAGTCTGTTGAGAGACAAAATAGACATAGCAATTTGGGGAAATTCTTTATTGAATTATAGGTGAATTCAAAGGAGAAATATACATTTTAAAATGGTGTCAATGGAATTTGAGCCTTAAGACTGCATGCCCTCTCCTTGGTGAACTTCACTTAACCTGAAACCTGAGACCATCTTGAATTTGTAATCCAGGTGTAAGGGAAAACTGAATGAGTCACAGTTGGAGGGAAATCATACCTTGAGGTCAATAACAGTGCAGAATATGCATACGGAATTCTTAGAGAAATCAGGTATGTGAAGGTAGAATTAGGCAACGTTCTACTCCCCATACCTGTCCTTGCTACTTGCACCAAACACTGGAAGGACTGAGTAGTGGAGGAGAAAGGAACCTGTTCTGCCTCAGTAATATAGAGGGAGAAGTAGTGAATAGGTTATGATATGAGTAGCCCCTTGTGTCTGGGGTCCCCAAGCCCACCCCCAGGTTCGGTGATTCTCTAGAAGAACTCTCAAGAATCAGCCTATCATCATAGAGCAAAGATTTATTTCAGCAAATGGATACAAAGAAAAATCAGCAAAGTAAAAAGGCTCATAGGATAAAATCTGGAGGAAACGAGGTGCAAGCTTCCGAGAGTCCTCTGCCTGTGGAGTCACCCAGGGCATGCCTATGCCTATTTCTCCAGCAATGAGTTGTGCCAGCAGTTGCAAGGTGTTGTATATAGGGAAGCTCATTAGAGACTCAAGGCCTGAGGTTTGTTTTTGTTGTTGTTGTTTATTTTTTTATTGTTATTGTTGTTTTTTGAGATGGAATCTCGCTCTGTCCCCCAGGCTGCAGTGCAGTGGCTCAATCTTGGTTCACTGCTTACTGCAACTTCCACCTCCTGGGTTCAAGCGATTCTCCTGCCTCAGCCTCCCGAGTAGTTGGGATTACGGGCACGTGCTACCACACCCGGCTAATTTTTGTGTATTTAGTAGAGACAGGGTTTCACCATGTTGGTCAGGCTGGTCTCAAACTCCTGACCTCGTGATCCGCCTGCCTCAGTCTCCTAAAGTGCTGGGATTACAGGCGTGAGCCACTGCACCCAGCCACCCAAGGTTTTTTTTTTTTGAGGACTGGTGACAAAAACACCCTCTGCGTAGCATGTAGCAAATTCCAGGTTCCCAAAAGGCAAGCAGGTGTTCAGCATAAACCACATTGTACAAAGAGTTTAGGGCCAGTGAGCCACTGTCACTGTTTAAGGAAAGTTTTATATCAGCATAGGAAACTTCTTACCAGTCAAGTCCACAGTGCCAGCCAAGGGCCAGCCTTGCAAGCAGATGTTCTAAGGATAGCAGTGTCAAGCCTGCTGTTTAACTCTTTTCTCTACACCCCTCCAAATCACCTCTGAGCTGTTGGTTAAAATGTCCTTTAATGTTTACATTACCTTCAAAGAAAGTACACAGTGGCTTATACAATGCTGTTTTTGTCCAGTGATCTGCCCTTCCCCTCATCTAATACTTATATCCTGAAATAAAATATTATTCAAGCTCATAATCACTGAAACAGTTCAGGTCAATCAATAAGGAATTTTTTTTTATTTTTTGTGGGTGCATAGTCTGTGTATATATTTATGGAGTATATGAGATTTTTTTGGTACAGGCACACAATGCTTAACAATCACATCATGGAAAATTGAGTATCCATCCCCTCAAGCATTTAGCCTTTGTGTTACAAACAAACTAGTTAGACTCTTTTAGTCATTTTTAAATGTGCAATTGAATTATTATTCACTATAGCCCCCATGTTGTGCTATTAAATACTAGGTCTTATTCATTGTTTCTAACTTTTTTTTTTTTTTTTTTTGAGACAGAGTCTCACTCTGCCACCCAGGCTGGAGTGCAGTGGCACCATCTCGGCTCACTGCAGCCTCTGCCTCCTGGGTTCGGGTGATTCTCCTGTCTCAGCCCTCCACCTTGCCCTCCAGTAACTAGAACAACAGGGTGGGCCACCATGCCCATCTAATTTTTGTATCTTTAGTAGAGAAGGGGTTTCACCATCCACCCACCTCGGCCTCCCAAAGTGATGGAATTACAGGTGTGAGCCACCACACCCAGCCTCTAACTGTTTTTTATACTCATTAACCATCTCCATCTTCCCCCACCCATTACTACCTTCCCAGCCTCTGGTAACCATCCTTCTATTCTCTAGCTCCATGAATTCAGTTATTTTTATTTTTAGATCCCACACATAAGTGAGAACATGTGGTGTTTGTCCTTCTGTGCCTGGCTTATTTCACTGAACACAATGATCTTCAGTTCTATCCATGTTGTTGCTAATGACAAGATCTGATTCTTTTCTATGGCTGAATAGTACTCCATTGTGTAAATGTATCACATTTTCTTTATCCATTCATCTGCTGATGGACACTGAGGTTGCTTCAAACTCTTGGCTATTGTGAACAGTGCTGCAAGAAACATGGGAGTGCAAATATCTCTTCAATATACTGATTTAGGAATTAATTTAGTGACTACTGTGTTTCCAGATTATCCTGAGCATATGGGAGTATAGGAGAGATGTAAGGAATAATCTGTGTCCATTAAGTTGTTTATAGTGTGGTTGGAGTGTGAAGATACCACTTAAAGCAATTAAAGAAGACATGTGATCCCCACTCAAATTCACAGCTGAGGGCAGTACCAAGGCAAATCCATTTGGCTTGGGACAGCAATTCCATAGGAGTGCCAGAGATTCTGAATCTTCTGATGTTGACAGCTGAGGCATCTTGCCAGCAGCAGTCCTAGAATCTCAGGCATGAAATAAGCCAAGTATACTGGTTGTCACCCAAAATAGCACAGCATATATTTCCTCCTTAATATTGGAGAGGATAAAATTTCACAGGTAAATATAGGACTGAGTGCCAATCTCTGAAAACATTTCTTTTTTTTTTTTTTTTTTGGCATTCCCTCTTCCTTCATCTATTTCCAGGTCGACGGATAGACCACGTACTCCTAAATGCTGATGGCATTCGAGGTTTTCCAGTTGTTCTTCAGCAAATCAGTAAGATTCTCAATTATCTGCTTATGTCAGCCAGTCAAACCAAATCAGGTGAGTTGCTTTTTTCTCTTTTCTTCTTCTGGACCTGGAACATTAGGTCAGCAGCAGACTTTACTTTTTCTTTCTCATTTGCTTTCCATAGAGAGTGTGGAAGAAAAGGGAGGAGGCCCTCCACGGTGCAGCATCACTGAACTGCTTCAGATGTGCTGGCCCAGCCTAACCGAGGACTGTGTTGCCAGCCACACCACCCTCTCCCAGCAGCAAGATCAGGTCCTTCAGTCACTGAGAGAGGCACTAGAGCTGCCAGGTATAAGGCTGTCTGCTTGGGAACAAATAAAAGCCGAACTGGGGAAAGGAAACAGCTGAGAGTAATGAAGCACTTTGGAGCAGAGGCTTGGACTCCAGAGCTGGGCTCTACCATTCCTTTAGTTAGCCAGGGCATGTCTCAATGTCTCATAACTTAACTTCACCTGTTTTCCCACCTCTCAATTGAAAGAATGGTGAACACTCCATTAGCTGATACATTTTTCTCATGATGAATGAGAAATATAGCCAGCAGATGCTCAGTAAGTACTGATGAACCCTTCCGCAAAAGATTGCTGTGTTCTTCATAAAGTTGTTCCACCCCAGAGACAAGGATAAAAACAGAACTATATACACCAGAGTAATTTTATACACTCCAGACTCAAAGCTCTTCCTGGCTGAGAATCACTTGTCCAAGTGACTGACTTGGGATTTTATATTTGCCTTGTAAGTGTAGTGCCCAGGCCATCAGATGCCCCAGGCAGTGCATAGGAGGCCCAGTTCACATATCCAGTCAGAAATTGACCCAAAGCTGGACTCACAGACTAAAGCCTGTGTCCTTTCTCCTGCCATCCTCCTCTCAGAGCCCAGGACTCCTCCACTGTCTTCCCTGGTGGAGCAGGCAGCCCAGAAAGCTCCAGAGGCAGAGGCCCACCCTGTGCAGATCCAGACTCAGCTCCTCCAGAAGAACCTGGGCAAACAGGCCCCAGCAGGCAGCAGACAGATGGACTACTTGGGCACCTTCTTCAGTTACTGCAGCACCCTTGCTGCAGTTCTCCTTCAAAGTTTGAGCTCTGAGCCTGGTAGGTAGCAAGAAAGAGGCAATAGATTCATGGCAGCTGCAAGTGTTCAGGCCAAGGAAGAGAAAAGACGCACGATTAAAAGACTCTGGATACAGTAGTAGCCAAGAACAGTAGATTTGTAAGGTCCTCCTCTCTTATTCATCTCTGGCTATTTTACTCATCTTTATGCTAGTATAACTGTATGGGAGTACTCAATTAATTTTCTTGGAATTAGTGACTCAAAAATATCTCTGTCAGACCTGTGGTCCACTGTGGATTTGAGGGGCCAGCAGAGGAATCGAGTCTCTGATATGAGTACCAGATTCTTTCTTAAGTTCACAGAGTAAGTACCACATGCACTTCAGTCGGGTTGAAGAGAGCAGGAGTTAGCTGTCTGTGGCTAGACGTGCCCACTGAAGTTCATCTGGGATTGGAAGTCTTTAGAGCAGTGGTAAGATATAGATAAACTTGTGGTCAGGTTCATGTTGAGAATACCCTTTACCTAGAATGAATTAACAGAAGGATCTCAATACTGTCTTCATCTTGACACTGTACTTTTTTCTCGATTCTGGGAAACAGGGCTCTGAACTCTTGTAGTCAGTGGTGCAAACAAATACCATGTTCTTTACCTTTGCAGATCATGTGGAGGTCAAGGTAGGAAATCCCTTTGTTCTGCTGCAACAGAGCTCTTCCCAACTGGTGTCACATCTCCTGTTTGAAAGACAAGTTCCCCCAGAGAGGTAGGAGCCACCTCCATGCAAGTCAGTCAGCCATGGGCCTTCCTAATGATTTCATCAAGATAGCCAAGGGCTCAGTGCATTGGTGCTTGGGGTTAGTACAGAGAGTGGGGATTTCTTCCAGACTGAATCTTTTATTCTTACACAACTCTGTGAAAACGTAATGTGCCTTGTTTCCTGCTTTCTCTCTCAATACCTCTAGCATGTATATTGTTAAGTATGAAATCAATGGGTGACTCTGCACTTTATAAATAGGCAAAAATCCAAAAATTCGATAACATGATAGTTGATTAGACTGTAGGAAAACAGCATTCTCAGAGAATGCAAGTGTGACATAAATTTGTACAGCCTCCATAGGAAGGCAGTTTGTCAATATTTATTAAAATTGCAAATTCATATGCCCTTTGATTTAGCAATCCAGTTTGGACAATGTATCCTACAGCTTTATTATACATAAGTGATTTATGTGCAAAATCATTTCATTGCAATCTTGTATATAGTACCAACAGATTAGAAAATTCATTGTCCACTAACAGGAGCCTAGTTATGGTTCATCTGTATAATGGAATACTATGTAACTGCAAAAACTAAAGAGGGTCCTCTCTATAGAGGGATATGGATAGATCTCGCAGATGTGCTCAGTGAAAACACAAAGGGCAGAGCAGTATGTCTAATAGGCTACTTTTTGTGTTTTAAAAAAAAGTGTAATGATTAGGAACTTTTATTTATATTTGCTCATATAAGCATAAATAAATTGTAAGACTGGGTAATGGTGCCTGTGTATTCAAGCCTTGTATGCCCTCTGCTTCTCTCCTTCCAGACTGGCAGCCCTTCTGGCCCAAGAGAATCTCAGCCTAAGTGTGCCGCAGGTCATCGTCAGCTGCTGCTGTGAGCCCCTTGCTCTTTGCTCATCCCGGCAAAGCCAACAGACCTCCTCCCTCCTGACTCGTCTGGGTACTCTGGCCCAGCTGCATGCCTCCCACTGCCTAGATGACCTCCCACTTTCTACACCGAGTTCCCCGAGGCCAACTGAGAACCCCACATTGGAAAGAAAGCCCTATTCCTCCCCAAGGGACTCATCACTCCCAGCCCTCACCTCCTCTGCCTTGGCCTTTCTTAAGTCTCGCTCAAAGCTCCTAGCTACGGTGGCCTGCCTGGGGGCTTCCCCGAGGTTAAAGGTCAGCAAGCCCAGCTTGTCATGGAAGGAACTTCGTGGCCGCAGGGAGGTGCCTCTGGCTGCAGAGCAGGTAGCCCGGGAGTGTGAGCGCCTTCTGGAACAATTCCCTCTGCTTGAGGCCTTCCTTCTGGCTGCCTGGGAGCCCCTGCGGGAGTCCTCGCAGCAGGGGCAGAATCTGGCAGTGAATCTCTGTGGTTGGGCCCGTCTTTCTACCGTTCTCCTGGGCCTACATTCTCCCATTGCCCTAGATGTACTGACTGAGGCTTTCGAGGAATCCTTGGTGGCCAGAGATTGGTCCCGGGCCCTTCAGCTCACTGAAGTGTACGGGCGAGATGTGGACGATTTGAGCAGCATAAAGGATGCGGTCCTGAGCTGTGCTGTGGCATGTGGTGAGCAGAATGCTTTGCCTCCCTTTTTCACTAATGGTAATACTTGGTATTCACTGGGTATATTATCACCTTTAAACCTCATGGTAACTAGAGAGAAGTCCCACTATAATCTCATGTTATTAAGAGGAGACCAGGGCTCAGAGGGGTTAGGAAACTTACCCAGGGTGGTAAGTGGTAGAGTAGAGCTTAGAACCCAAGTCCATCTGACTTTAAACAGGCACTCATAACCAGTATTCTCAATACTGTATATCATAATTCTTGTGAAATTCTATAGACTACAAATGTTTGGGCCCCATCCCCAGAGGCCCAGGACTTTGTAAGCCACAGTCTTGCTCATAACTACCCAGCCCTTCCAGTACAGCATGAAAGCAGCCAGCGTCAATATATAAAGAAATGAACATGGCTATAGTCTAATACAACTTTATTATAAAAGCAGATTGTGGGTCTCTTTGACGACCACTGCTTTGAAAGCTCCCCAGGAAATTTTGACATGTAACCAGAGTGGAAAGCCAATGAGCTGCAACACTACTAGGATTTCCTAGCAGTGTTGTAGCAAGAGTTGGGTGTGATGTAGGGAATGACTTTCGGATAGGAGGTTTGGCTCCCTTTGGAAAGGAGAAAATCCATCCTTGAAAAGGTGGAGAAATCCACTGACTGGCTGTGTGGTCTTAATTGCTTGGAGTCTGTTTTTTGTATCTCCAAGATCATATCTGTGAAATGGGTGTGGAAGAGAGAGATCTAAGTCATGATGACAGAGAATATCCAGGGAGTGAAACTAGTCTATCTGGAATAACTTTCAAGTGGTTATGTATGGCATAGGGTGGAAATTACAGGGAAAAGGAAAGTTTCACTGACAAAGTGAGTCTGAAACAGTCCTGTATGTTCAGCATGCCAAGACATGGAGAGCTTCATCTCTTCTGTCCTTCCTTTATTCCTTCCTTCCTTTCTCTTTCCTTCTCTTCCTCCTGAAAGTCTCATGACTATTATCAGGTTTACCTAAAGATAAACATAGGGTAGAGATACAGCATTTTCCTTGTCATATAATGGTTCCAAGTGTAAAAACTAATTAAGATCACATGCATCTTAAGGATCCTCCAAGCTCCTGTTTTATGAAATTGAAGAAAGCCCTTTCTCAAGAAGTAACGTGGACTCTTGAGCTCTTCAGGTCCCATGCTTGCTGCCTCTAAGCATCTTTTTTGTCTTATAGACAAAGAAGGTTGGCAATACCTGTTTCCTGTGAAGGATGCATCTCTGAGAAGTCGGCTGGCCCTACAGTTTGTGGACAGGTGGCCCCTGGAGTCATGTCTGGAGATTCTGGCCTACTGCATTTCAGACACGGCTGTCCAAGAAGGACTAAAGTGTGAGCTACAGAGGAAGCTGGCGGAGCTGCAGGTGTATCAGAAGGTATGGGCCCTCGCATCAAGAGAAAAGAAATGGGCTTCTCACTCTATGATCAACTCCAACCAATTCTCGTATGATGGGGGACTTTAAGAAACAGAAAACATAGGCCTGGGTTTTGCTTTGCATCTGGCTTCAGTTCTTAGGTGGACAGCAGGGAGGCCTCCTAGCTGGTTCCTGTGTTACTTACTTCTGTAATTTTAAATAAATTTGTATGAAGTGAGGGTAAAAATAACAAAATTAACATTGAAATGGTGTATTACGGTCCAAAAAGGCTTTTTCACATGTCTTTTTGACCTTTGTGTATGTTTTTGTATATTATATCTTCTATAAAGTTTGTTTTAAATTTCAGCAAAATTTCAAGAGCTATTTTGAAAAGATGCATGAAGGTGACAATTTCAAAAGTAAAAGATTCTTGTGACATGTTTGTTATGTTCAAGCTCAAGAGGTTTAGGGAGACAAATTTAGGAAGCATGGCTACATAAGAAGTACAAAATAGATGCTAATTTTCCAACATATCCTTGGAGCAGACAGAGTCCAGGAACCCTACCAGAGACAGTGAAAATGGCAGGTGAAAAAAGGTTTATTTTTATTCTTCCTTGGCAGTTTTCATGCAGAGCTAAAATGTTGTATGAAAGGCGATCTCACAGAGCATTCAAGCCAGAAGAATATCTTGGGTGGAGTTTGGGGTGGAAGAGCACGGGACAGGTGAACCCCAGAACAATCTGGAAAGCATGAGAGCACTGTCTTCACTAGTGAAAGGCCCCAGTCCTGGCCGCCATATTCAGCCTTCACTTCCTGCTTGTTCTTCCCCGGATAGGTTCACTCTGCTCTCTAAATAATCTTTGCCCAATTTGCTCTCTTTTCTGGCAAGTTCTAACAGCCTGACTTTGGGGCAGAGATCTAGAGATGGCCCATCTGTGGGCATGCCAGTGACTTGTTCATGGAAGGAGAAGCTGCAGTGTGGTTTGATGGATTTTCCTGTCTTTCCTTAGATTCTGGGTTTACAGTCTCCCCCCGTGTGGTGTGACTGGCAGACCTTGAGGAGCTGTTGTGTTGAGGACCCATCAACTGTCATGAACATGATTCTAGAAGCACAGGTACCATTTTCCTGGGTGTTGTTCCACTTCATCCTCCTTTCAGAGTTGCAACCCCTTAGCTGGCTGTATAAGCCCCTTTCTGCATGTCAGTGTTCACTTTTTAAAAAAATAACTATACCATATTCTTTTTTATTGTGAAATTTGCCAAAATCCAGATAAGTATAGAGAATAATACAATTGACTCTTTTGTATCATCACCCTGTGTATATAAATTTCATCACCCTGAAATTTTCTACATTGTGTATATTAGGTAGAGAATGTATTTCTCAAAGTGGAATTGCTGGGTCATCGGTCACGAGCGTCCTCACCTTTACTAGGATATTATCAACACACTCTCCAAAACGCTTACCCCAGTTACACTCCCACTTGCAGTTCCTGCTATTCCATACACATGTCACCTTTTTGTTTATCTTTATTTTTATTATTATTTTTGAAACAGAGTCTCACTCTTTCACCCAGGCTGGAATGCAGTGGCACAATCTTGGCTCACTGCAACCTCCACCTCCCACGTTCAAGCGATTCTTCTGCCTCAGGCTCCTGAGTAGCTTGGATTACAGGCACCTACCACCACGCCCAGCTAATTTTTTTGTATTTTTAATAGAGACAGGGTTTCGCCATGTTGGCCAGGCTGGTTTTGAACTCCTGACCTCAAGTGATCCACCCACCTTGACTTCCCAAGGTGCTAGGATTACAGGCATGAGCTACCATGCCCAGCCCCTTGTTACCTTTTTATATTGTCCAACTTTTCAACGTTTACAATAAGATGGTATCTCATTGTTGTTTTAATTTACATGATTACTAATAAATTTGAATATCTGTTCATGTTTATTAGACTTCCAAGTGCTAAGTAGGATTTTGTCTACCTTTTAAGAAGCTGACTATAGATGCTCATTCAAATGTTTGTTCATTCAGGAAATACTTATTGCATGCCTATTGCCAGTCACTGTGCTAAATGATGGTGAAACAAAAATAGTTAAGCTGTCCTTGCCCTGGAGTGGCTCACATTTTGGGGACAGAGGTGATGTAAGATGCATCCCTAGGTGACTGCAACATAATATACAAATGACAGAAGTAAGCTCAGATTGTGGGCGCACAGACAGGGCACCTAACATAGCCTGAGAAACAAGGAAGCATCCTGAAGAAGGCAGTCCTAGGCAGGGTTGTGGGGAGGACATTCCAGACACCCCTATGTGGGAATATTTGAACAAAGCCCTAGGAATTCTATTCTCTGAAACTTCATCTACAGTTCACAAATTGGGGTTTTGGGGTAGTGAGGTGGAACATGAGTAGAATCCAACCACCGATATGTGTATTTGGCCTTTGTAGTATTGGTCTACAGAATTTTTATTTTTTCATATTGACTTTATTGCCAAAATTTTAAAATACAGAAATTGTATGATTTTTAAAAAGTTTTGTAACTTAAAAGTCTGACAACATTGGGCTTGCCCATTCTTATAGCATGGGTGCTATGTCCTTTAAACAGAGTCTTTTCAGTCTTTCCCACTTCCTTAGAATCTCCCCAGGGTTGACACCAAGTGTCTGTTGCCACGTCATCTGCTATTTTTTCATAGTAGAGCTAAGAGGAAAGTGATATGAACAGTAAGCCTGCTTCAATCATTTTCATCATAGTGAAGTTCCCATCAGCACTTACAGACATTCCTGGGGCTTTGTAGACTCCAGACTGCTAAGAAGAATCAGGCAGTCATGTAAAGGTATTGAAGGCATGTGTGTTTCCTTCCAGGAGTATGAGCTGTGTGAGGAGTGGGGCTGCCTGTACCCCATTCCAAGAGAACATTTAATCAACCTTCATCAAAAGCATCTTCTCCATCTTCTAGAAAGAAGAGATCATGACAAGGCTCTGCAAGTAAGCCCCCAGTTCTTTCCATTTTTCTTCTGGGGTGGGACAAGAAGATTAGTCAAATCAGATGGCTTTGTTTTCATGTTGAATCCCATGCAATCTCAGATATGCCTCTTCAGGTCCTTCAGGAGCTGGTTATAGTCATCTTGAGAAGAAGGGGCCTAGCCTTGCGTTAGGCACCAGATGGGGCAGCTGAGTCCAGAATTCTGCTGAATTCTGGTCCTGTCAAAGCCATGGCATTTGTGAAACTACAGAGGTGGTTTTAAAAAAAAAAAGCGAGTATAGAGAAAGGATTAGTCCAAGATGCGTAAACCTAAATATTCCTTTCTCAAACAAAACAAGGCTGATCTAAGAGCTCTCCTGCATGCCTCACCTTCCTCTTCTACCCTTCAACAATAGCTCCTACAAAGAATCCCTGACCCCACCATGTGCCTTGAGGTGACAGAGCAATCCCTTGACCAGCACACTAGCTTGGCCACTTCTCACTTCTTGGCCAACTACCTCACCACTCACTTCTATGGACAACTGACTGCTGTCCGACACCGTGAAATCCAGGCGCTGTATGTGGGATCCAAGGTAAGGAGGAAAAGGAGGTGTTGGGAAGGCATACCTGAGGGAGAGATTGCGAGCCTAGCTCTTCTTCAGAACTTGCCTTTTCAATGGCTCTTTTGCCAGGCACCTGCCATCTCTGGCCTGTGCTATATGAAATCCTTACCCTAGCAGCCCACTGTATCCTAGATGAGTCTCCTAGACTTGTCATTCTCTTCCTGTCCTGCCTCTGTAGTGAATTCTACCTGGTCCTCTTAAGTTGCCTTTATGGTTTCCATGGCATCTGCTCTATCAATGCTTCTCAATTCTGACAATATATCAGAATCACCTGGACTTAAAAAAAAAAAAAAATACCAGGCTATTCACCTCAACCCCAGATCAATTAAAACTGGTCTTGAGATAGGGACTGGACATCTTCCAAAGGGCTTCTGATGTGAGGATTTAAAACGACTGCTTGATAAACTTGTCTGTGCTAGTGGAAGAGGGTTAGTTGTCTATGTAATTAGATGAGATAAGCTCTTACCTTTGATGTATAACCTTGGAGACATTAATAGAAGAAACCACCAGCTAGAAATAGTAATCCAGGGAAGCAGAGTTTGAGGAGAGCTAGGGCCCTCTGGCATTCTTCTAATTATTCTGCCTGGCAGTCCTATATACTACCCCACAAATAGAACGAGTGCTAGGAGAACCATAAATATAACCACTGACCCACTTACTAAGAGTTAAACTACATAACATGTTCCTTAAGAAGATACACCCAATGTACCGTAGCTGAATAGGGGAACCCTTGAAAACCGGCAGTGAACAGAGTCCGTGAACATATTTCAAGCCTAGTGACCGTGACTTCTAAGGAGAACTTAGATTCATTGTTTACCTGTAGGACATAGGAGGTACCAGGTTTCATCAGACCACTAACACCACCTTGTATTTCTCATTCTGAGTAAAGCCTCAAACAAACAGAATGGTGGCATTAAGGGTCAGGGAGACCTCAACCATACCTGGAGGGTCCAGGCCAGAGGTCAGCAGGCTACCACCCATGGGCCAAATCCAGTCCCCAGCCTGCTTTTGTAAAGCAAGTGTTATTGGAACACACATGCGACTGTCATTTTACCTGTGGCTGCTTTCAAGGTACATGTGCAGAGCTGAATGTTTGAGACAGATATTATGGACCATAAAGCTTAAAATATTTACTCTCTGATCCTTTATAGAAAAAGTTTACTAACCTCTCATCTGGTGAAGGTACTTGGGGTACTTCTCAATTACCATCTGCAGAATTTAGTGGGGAGCTCAACCTTCCTGCCTAAAAAACTGCGAGTCCGTTTCAGTAGCTGGCTATGTGCCTTTTGTTCTCATGCACCCTTCTCCTTCCCAGTGAGAATCTTGAGTTTTTTTCTGAAATTTGTGTACTATTTTCTTTACTCTATGGATCTACCCCACAAACAGATTCTGCTGACCCTGCCTGAGCAGCACCGGGCCAGCTATTCCCACTTGTCCTCTAACCCCCTGCTCATGCTGGAGCAGCTGCTTATGAACATGAAGGTGGATTGGGCCACTGTGGCTGTGCAGACTCTGCAGCAGCTGATGGTTGGACAGGAGATCGGCTTCACTATGGATGAGGTGGACTCACTGCTTTCCAGATATGCAGAGAAAGCCCTGGACTTCCCATACCCTCAGAGGGAGAAACGATCAGGTAACTGCTAGCATCCTAAAAGGGGATTCTACGTGGAGGGAAGAAATGCCATGCTGAATTCTTAGTTTTAATTTGCACCCCTTTTAATATTTTGGGTTGATCTAGAGTGAACGAATACACTTCAGGAGAGATAGCTCTTTATTATATAGGAGCGATCTTGGTCTTGGAGGAAGTAGAATAATGACCAGAATTAAAAGGTGGTAGGTAACCAATGCATGCATAATAACATAAAGGTTTGGAAAACAAAATAGGCTGGAAATGGTGTCTGTCTGGCCTTGATATAGCGGGCTCTTCAGTGCCATCATTTGGTATTGAGAATATGCCTTATTCCCAGGATCACATCAGATATCACTTGTATGTGAGCTGACTCAGCCTATTCTACAATGAAGACACTGAAATAAGTATGGACTGATGTTCCCAGCCAGCTCTTTTTTCTTACTCCCTACCCTCCAGGGGCATCGTTTCAACATCTTCCACTTCCCTCTGGGCATTTTTAGATTTATTTTGTAGAATCCTAGTGTCCATTTCATTATCTTATATGCCTAAATATGGTTTGTTTTTCAAGGTGTTTAAGAAACATGCATGCTATGGGCTTAGAGGTACCTTCTCCATTCTCTTAATACCTAGTAGAGTCATGGAATGACAATCAGAGAAGCCAACAGAGCTTTGTTCTAAATGCCTAGGATGGTGAATCAAGATACTTATGGTAGAACCATATTTTGTCAGCATTTTCCCTCTCTACAGATTCTGTGATTCACCTCCAAGAAATTGTCCACCAGGCTGCAGATCCCGAGACCCTCCCTAGATCACCATCGGCAGAGTTCTCTCCTGCTGCTCCTCCTGGTAAGAGCTGGCTCTGATTATTCACTAAAATGTTTCAGTTTAGTCTTGCCTTATTCTGTCCTTCAGAATTTTTTTTTTTTTTTTGCTTCTTTTTTTCATTGTCAGTTATAACGTTATTAATTGTTTATCTTGGTTCATTCCAGATTTACATATATCTCAAAAGATTCAACATACAGTCAATTATTGTTATTTGTGGCAGTATGTCTATAGAGTCTCCACACTGAACTAGAAAATCCAGAACTCTTGCTCCTAGGGGAAATATGTACATGTATACACGTATCTCACATAGATGGTCATCTTAAATCCTAAAAACAGCTCATAGTAGATGATTCTATTTCCTTTTTTCTACAAAGGAGGTTCAGAAGTGTTAAGTGACTTGCCTGAGGCCACCCCCACTAACAGGTCCCAGAATTGGAGTTCAAATCCCATTCAACTAGCCCCAGCACTGAGCTTCTTGTACTACCCCGCACTGTCCACTACCACCTCCATCTTCTGGTCACTGTTTTTTGTTTTTTTTTTTTTGAGACGGAGTCTTGCTCTGGCGCAATCATGGCTCGCTGCAACCTCCACCTCCTGGGTTCAAACAATTCTTCTGCCTCAGCCTCCCAAGTAGCTGGGATTAAAAGCATGTGCCACCATACCCAGCTAATTTTTGTGTTTTTAGTAGAGATGGGGTTTCGCCATGTTGGCCAAACTGGTCTCAAACTGCAGGTGATCCGCCTGCCTTGGCCTCCCAAAGTGCTGGGATTAAAGGTGTGAGCCACCACACCCAGCCAGGTCACTGTTGTATAGAGGCTGAAACAACCCCAGCTGGGAATCTGAGTATTGAGTGTTAGGTGACTCAAAACTTTCACGACCGCACGTGTTTGCAAATGACCACAAAAGCAAGATGAATATTGTTTTTGAGGTTACAAATGTTAACAAATAAGCAGCTTCACAAATATGCAGTCTGGTATTAATGAGGATTGACTGTACTTAGCCCTCAAGTTCATACTGTCACACACAAAGCAGAAGCTCCTCGAAGGCTTCAGCCATGTCTTGGTCGCCCTTTTCACCACCCCTCTAGTGCCCTGGTCTCCAGCACCCACACAATGGCCTACTCCCAAAAGAAGCTCAGCCAAGTATTTTGTTTTGCCAAATGGTCAAAGGAGCAGGATTCTAAGGTCTCTTCTTCTGAGTGCTACTAAGTGCACCATGTTTTACAGCTCTCTTTTTCTGTGACCAGCCAGTGTTGCTCGGCTAGATGAGAAGAAATCTCTTTACATATCATAAAACAAACTGTGGCATTTTCTGGCCATACTTTGAGAATTAGTCATGCGTCATGGTAACCAGCCAAGCTGAGGGGACGGCTCAGCCTTGCAAGTATATTAGCAGCTTCATGCATCTGTATAAATAGCAGCCGGAGCAGCTTTGATGGTGTGTGTGTGTGTGTGAGTGTATGACCTTTTTTTTTTTTTTTTGGAGACAGGATCTCACTATGTTGCCCAGGTTAGAGTGCAGTGGTGCCATCAGAGCTCACTGCAGGTCAGTTCCTCCTGCCCCTGCTTCCCAAGTAGCTAGGACTACAGGCACACACCACCATTGCCTGGTTAATTGTTTTATTTTTTGTAGAGACAGGATCTTGCTTTGTTGCCTGGGCTGGTCTCGAACTCTTGAACTCAAGTCATCCTCCCACCTTGGCCTCCCAAAGTGCTGGGATTACAGGCATAATCTGCACCCAGCCTATATGAGCTTTTTATTATGGAAATTTTGCAAATCCCAGATATCATATCATCTCATTTATAAATATTTCAGTATAAATCTCTGAAAGGTAAGGACTTTCATGAAACAAAGCCATAATACCATTATCACATCTAGAAACAAATTAATAATAATTCCTTATTCTCAAATATCAAGTCAGTATTCAAAATTCTCCAGCTGTTTCATCAAGATTTTTTTATAGTTGGTTTTTCTAGACTCAAGATCTAAATAATGTCCATACATGGCTTGGCATTTGGTGAAATATCTCTTAAATCTTTTTTTAATTTTTATTTTTTAAGAGAGTCTCCCTCTGTCATCCAGGCCAGAGTGCAGTAGTCTGATCATGGCTCACTGTAATCTTGAACTCCTGGGCTCAAACAATCCTCCCACCTCAGCCTCCGTACTAGCTGGGACTACAGGCACACACCACCATGTCTGGCTAACTTTTGTAATTTTTTCTTTTGTATAGATGGAGTCTAGCTATGTCGCCCAGGCTGGTTTTGAACTCCTGGCCTCAAGTGATTCTCCTGCCTCAGCCTCCCAAAGTGCTGGGAGTAATGGCATGAGCCACTGCACCGGCCTCTTAAAGTGCCTTTAATTAATAGGTTCCCTGCCTCTTTTCTTGTTTATCCCCCCTACCTCTTTTTTATTTGTGGAGACTAGTCATTTGTGCCCCGGAGCTTCCCACATGCTGGATTTTGCTGACTGCCTTCCTGTGGCAATCTGCCTCTTCATCCCCAGAATTTCCAGGACACTAGTAATTAGATCTAGAAGCTGGACTTGATTCAGGCTTAATATTTTTTCGTAAGTATACTTGATAGCAGGTGGTGTACACGTCCATCAGGAGGCACACAATGTTCATTTGTCTCTCTTTTATGACACAAACAGCCACTGATGATCATTAACTGGATCTATTATTTCAATAAGCTTTGTAAAATGGTGAAATCCTATCATTGCCTCTTCATCTGTATGCTGGCATATTGATTACCTTTTACTCTCACCTCTGGCTCTGCCTCCCAGGTATCTCCGGTGTACATTCCCCTAGTCTAAAGGAAAGGAGTTTTCCACCAACCCAGCCCCCACAGGAATTTGTGCCCCCAGCGACACCGCCTGCCAGGCACCAGTGGGTACCAGATGAGACTGAAAGTATCTGCATGGTCTGCTGCAGGGAACACTTCACTATGGTAAGCAGCATCGGTCTCCACTGTCACCCTCAGGAGAAAGTAAAGGAGAATTCTAGTTCATGAGCCTGAGTTTACAGTCAACGCCTGTCCCCAAGAGAATATTGGTATTTTCAGAACTGCCAAATCTAAGACTTTGGGTTTATTTTTGACCTGATCAGAATGTGTTTTCTGGATTCAGACAGGTAGTAGACACCCTCAAATAGCAGTGAATTCTAAAATCTTTGCCATTGTCATGAGATAATAAAAAAGAGGCAGGAGGAGTCACCAGGTGTCAGTGGATCTTGTTTCCAGCTCCATGTCTTTAACAGTAAGACTGGTGACCTAGCAATGGTTATATGCACTGACTCCAGAGACAGAGGACCTGGGTTCTAATCCTGGCTCTGCCTCTTAATGACAGTGTGACTATACACTATTTTGGTCTCATGTGCCTACTTGTAAACTAAGGATGATACATTCTTAGGCTCATAGAGCTGTTAGGATTAAATAAATACATGTCACCACAGTTAACAGAGTACCTGCCCAGTATGCCACATCAGCTCAATGCTGATGAAAACAGTGTTGATGTAATTGCCCTGTGTCTGTTTCTTCCTCATCTATAAAAGAGGTGTAACATTTCTATATTTCTATTAGAATGAAATGAAGCAGTACTTTAAAGTCACTTTGATGCCCATCCACTGTAGACTGGATAAAGAAAAGTGGTACATATATACCATAGAATACTATGTAGCCATAAAAAAGAACAAGATCATGTCTTTTGCAGGAACATGGATGGAACCAGAGGTCATTATCCTTAGCAAACTAACATAGGAATGGAAAACCAAATACCACATGTTCTCAATCATAGTGGGAGTTAAATACTGAGAACACATGGACAGAAAAAAGGGAACAACAGACACGGGGGCTACTTGAGAGAGAGGAGGGTGGAAGGAGGAAGAGGTTCGGGGAAGAAAAACTGCTATGTACCATGCTTAGTACCCAGGTGACAAAATAAGCTGTACACTAAACCCTTGAGTCACGAATTTACCTATACAATAAACCTGCACATGTACCCCTGAACCTAAAATAAAAATTAAGATTTAAAAATATATATCTATGAGGAAAGCAAAGTCAGATATTTTCCTTATTTAAAGTTATAAATCTTCAAGGAGGACAGTTGGTTGTGACTTGTTGAGACATATGATAAGCCACTGAAAGGAGTTTTGCATGACAAGCTGCTCTCTAGCTTTAAGACCACCATATAGAAGGTTTACTTACATATAGGGTAGATTATAGAGTTTCTAATCATGACAACAGTGGGCCTTTATTGACTGCCTACGCTCTATGTTCCAGGCATGATACTAAGTGCTTTGCTTAAGTTATCTCTCTTAAATTTTACAATAACCTGATGGGCTTGATAATATTATTACTGTATTACATACACCAGAATATGGATGTATAGAGAAGGTATGTAATTTGGAAAAGACTGATGAGAAATTCTGAATTGACTGATACAAATTAAGAATTTGTGTATAAAATTAAATTATACCTAAGTGTTTGTATTTTTAAAGTCTTTTTTTTTTCTTTTTCTTTTTTTTTTTGAGACAGAGTCTTGCTCTGTCACCCAGAGGAGTGCAGTGGTGCGACCTCTGCTCGCTGTAACCTCTGCCTCCTGGATTCAAGCAATTCTCCTGCCTCAGCCTCCTGAGTAGCTGGGAGTACAGTCTCCCGCCACCACACCTGGCTAATTTTTGTGTTTTTAGTGGCAATGGGGTTTCGTCATGTCAGCAAGGCTGGTTTCAAACTCCTGACCTCAGGTGATCCGCTCACCTCTGCCTCCCAAAGTGCTGGAATTACAGGCGTGAACCACCACGCCCAGCCTAAAAGTCTTGCTTCATGTTTATCATGTGTTACAAATGGCACCTGCTAAAGTAACCTTGGGGAAAACAAATAAATAAAGGCATTTTGAAAAGGGATACCTTTTAATCATTGACATCAATACCATGTAGAAATGTGATCTGCACTGGCTCAGAAAGTGACTTCTTCCCCACCACTTTTTCCTGTTTCTTCACATGTTGCCTCCATACGCAAGTAGAACTTGTCAGGAGCTATTGCAAAACTCCATGACTTGGCACCTTTGCCCATCAGCTGACAGATATTTTTAAATGTTCAATTTTTGAGGGCAAAGACTGGTGTGTCCTTTTTCAATAGAGACCCAAGCACTTGGTGTTCTTAATAAGTAAGCCACTGGCAGCTAATACCATGTATAGATGGATTGATGACAATCTCCCCTTCTCTCCTCCCTCTTTCTTCTCTTCCTGATGGCATTCCGCAGTTTAACAGGCGTCATCATTGTCGCCGCTGTGGCCGGCTAGTATGCAGCTCCTGCTCCACTAAGAAAATGGTGGTGGAAGGCTGCAGAGAGAACCCTGCTCGTGTGTGTGATCAGTGCTATAGTTACTGCAACAAAGAGTGAGTGTCCTACAGCAGGGCTGTTGCTATTATTGACTGCTGCACCCTCCCCCAGGTCCCTACACTCCTAGGAGTCTCATTATGGAGAGCATTTCAAATCCAGAAATGTTTAACATCCACACTGAAATGCCATTAATTCTATACTGAAGTGTTTGTACACTGACCTTGGTCAGAGAAACTACTAAGAGAGAAAGTAGGGTGAGAGGAAGCGGTGTTCAAGGCTCTTACATGATTTTCTCTCTGAAATTGGAACATTGATTCCTTAGCCCTTCCCCAGACAGAGGCCATTGAGCTTAGTTCACGGGCTCACCTATTTTCCAGCCTCTCTTGCTTCAACTGGTCTCAGCTGGACTCAAATGGAGTTCACACCTGCTGAGTGGTTGGGCATCGCTTGCATCAACTCTGATCTAGGTAGTCATTCTTGCTTGTAATCCATAATTAGAAGGGCCTCCATACTTGCCTACACAGAATTCACCTGGTAACAAATTTAAGAACCTGCTCGTACCTCCAGTGAGACAGATCAAGACTTTGTTTGTTGGCTCAGGGTTGCTCAATTGTTTCCACTACTTCTAGTAGCAAAGGAGCATGAACCTAAGACTCCTAGAGCATCCAGGAATATGGGCCAAAGCAACCATCCAAAACAAGTTACTTTGAATTATGCATGTTTTATTTACAAACTTAAATAGATTTTATGTTCTCCTTCATAGCATTATTGTGTTTGTCCTGATATGAACATTATTGGTCATTATTTACCATAATGATTACTGATCTCATAGGAAGGAAAACATACCATATTTATTCTACAGTTTCCGTGACCCTAGCATACCACTGCCTCCCTCCCTCAGGGAAGAATTACCCACACACCATACTGCTGAGATTTGAAATAGGCAGTTTGTATTGATGGGGGGGACTCTTTCATTCAACAACTCTACCCTCAAAGAGCCCTCCATTGTCCCAGGGGGACACTGTGAGTTGATGCGTCTACTAAGCTCAAAACAAAGAATTGACTCAGGCATTTATTTAATAATTTATCTTTATCTCTTTTCAGTGTACCAGAGGAGCCTTCAGGAAAACCAGAAGGTAAGGCCAAATCCCATTCTCTGTGACTCTTCATTTGTGTACTTAAGTTAACTCTATCTTCAGCATATCAGCTGCGACTGATATACTTGTCCAGCTAATGCACTCCATCCAACTTGTTTGCCAAAGCAAATTCTTGGCATTTCTATCAGCCTGTTTCCTCTGAAGTTCATCATATTAACCTATTACACTGGCCCATTAGCTTCTAGCATTGAGAAGGCCAGCAACCAAATAATTTGGTTCTTAACTTTTAGTACGTGATTTGATTTTAGTTTTTCTTAAGTTTCCCTTTACCATCCTACCTCCCCATGATCCCTCCTTACCCCTAGGTAATCCCTGTTAACAGTTTGGCCTGTAACTCTCCACAACAGGTTAGTTTTTAGAGTATCCAGTGGCTCAGCCATTTATTTGAGAAACACACCCCTTTTAAGGTTTCTTGTGTGAAGCAAGAAGGTTATGTGACAAATGCTGTAACTCTCACCCCAGGTCTACGCCTGGGGAAGACAGTTTGAGGTGCTTAGTAGGGTGTCCTAAAGCAAACAAAAGGAACCAAGGAGAGAGAAAGGGCCCTGAGATAGCAGGCAAGTGCCTACCTGCAACTCATGCCAACTCACAGGACTGGGTTAGACTGAACTGCCAGCCTGTGAATGACACATGAATGGTATTTCTCTTCTCAGCTCTAGACAGCTCCAAGAGTGAAAGCCCTCCATACTCGTTTGTGGTGAGAGTCCCCAAAGCAGATGAGGTAGAATGGATTTTGGATCTCAAAGAGGAGGAAAATGAGCTGGTGCGAAGTGAATTTTACTATGAGCAGGTAATAGCAATAAAATGCAATGGTCACTTAAGTTTCTTTATGATGTGTAGTAGTATGACGAGAAATACAGAGGCAGGTGAACACACCTGGCCTTTACTTGTTTATAGTGCAATAATATGGGAGCTAAACCAGTAAATCCATTAACGCAGAAAATAATGAACATCTTGGGAATTGCACAAGGGGAGACCAGGAAAGGCTTCGTGGAAGAGGTAGCATTTAAGATGAGCTTTAGAAGAATGGTAGGAGTGTGACAAGCAGAAAGCTGGGGGTCATGAGGAAAGTGGGGATAGGGAAGGACAAAGAATACAAAATTAAAACATCTGATCAAAGACACCATGCCCAAAATTGCAGGGCACGATTGGAGAAGTGGAAGTTGTTTAATTTGAAGGGAATATAGAATCAATAGAGTCAATAGAGAGCTCATAAAAGGTAGGCTTGAAAAGGATTATTTATATATAGGGTCTTGCATTCTGCAGTAAGGACTGTCTACTTGATAGGTATCAGGGACCTATGAAAGGTTTCCGAGTGTGCTGTGGGAATATTCATTTGGCAGCAGTGTGTCCATGGCTTAAAGCAGCAACTCCTGTAGGTGGTCAGACAAGTGAGCTGACCGTTGTTGTCCAAGTCAGCAATAAGGACTTGCACTAGTGGACCCGAAAAAGGAGGGGACCTATGGACATTGTCAAGAACTAGGTAACAAGGCCAGGCACAGTGGTGCCCACCTGTAATCCCAGCACTTTGAGAGTCTGAGGTGTGTGGATTGCTTGAGCTCAGGAGTTGCTGACCAGGCTGGGTAACATGGTGAAATCCCTGTCTCTACAAAAAAAAAAAAAAAATACAAAAATTAGCCGGGCATGGTGGCACACAGCTGTGGTCCCCACTACTTGGGAGGCTTAGGTGGGAGGATTGCTTGAGCCTGGGAGGCAGAGGTTGCAGTGAGCTGAGATTGCACCACTGCACTCCAGCCTGGACAACAGAGTGAGACCCTGTTCCAAAAAAACAAAATAAAGAAGTAGGTAACAGGTGGACACAGTGCCCTTCTTCCCAGTAAAATGACAAAACCTAAAAGCCAGAGCTTTGGCATTGCTACTTAGAACATCTGAAATTTGTTTAGTTCCACTTCTGCTTTCTTGTGGAATTTGGTTCCTTCTCCCAGGGTCTTTCAGCCTTTTGAAAGGGGAAGGATAATTTCTGCCACCCAGCTGCCTCTGGAGAATGCTCTGGCCCCTGGACTCACCGTGTGTTCTCCCTTATTCCACCCCGGCCAGGCCCCCAGTGCCTCCTTATGCATTGCCATCCTGAATCTGCACCGGGACAGCATTGCCTGTGGTCACCAGCTGATTGAGCACTGCTGCAGGCTCTCCAAGGGCCTCACCAACCCGGAGGTGGATGCTGGGCTGCTCACGGACATCATGAAGCAGCTGCTGTTCAGCGCCAAGATGATGTTCGTCAAAGCCGGCCAGAGCCAAGACTTGGCTCTTTGTGACAGGTAGAGGGCAATGAGTCTATTCTTGTACGTAGGAGCAGTTTCTAGCCAGCTGCTTTTTCTGACCTCACTATGATTTTTTTTATCTCATCATCCCCTCTGACAAGACATGCTGAAAGATTTTTCATCTCTGTAATGTCGACGAAATGGTGTTGCCAGATCACAAGTGTTCTTCCCCGTACTACCTGACATCCTTTTCTTTTTCAGAGCAGATCCTCAAAGCAGAATTTACTCTATCTACACCCAGTCAGAAAGAAAGTAAAGACTTTCATTGGTTAATTTGTCATTAAAGTTAATGTAGGGAAGCACCTTTAGTCTCTGTGGGACTTTCAGGCTTTTAAAGAAAATGTGTCTTCCTTGAACATCCGGTGATTAGCCTTGAACAAAACGCTACTCCAATCCTGACCAGATTCAAACTGTGACTTCAGTGAGTTCTGGATGATAGATTTTTAAAAGCACTCTGGGAATTGATCTATTCCTGTGTCACAAGTAGGAACCTGGGTCATAAAGTAGAAGTGTGTATGGAAAAGGTATGATTAGACCTCCCTCGGGTTCCTGTACAACCTGCTTTGACTCCATCCATTAACCTGACAATGAAAACTCCTAATTCCCTGCTTATCCACTCAGATGTGTGACTCATATTGTGTGTTCCCAGCACTCAGTCCTAACCAAATTTGGGAGAAGGGAGCATAATTGTCTTTGCAGTATCATTGCCTCCCTCAGACATTTGCTCGGAATACTTATCTACAAACTCAGCAGCCAGCATAGAGCATGGTAAATCCCAGCTACATGACTTCCTAGCTCTGTTAACCCCTCTAGGCCTCAGTCTCCTCCTCTATAAAATGGGGTGGTAATACTGATCTCATGGGGCTGTTACAAGGGTAAAATGAGATCATCCATGTAGATGGTGAAGAACTAAGCCTGGTATATACTGTGTATCCCGAAAATGTTAGTAATTTGTATTATTTTTAGTAACAAAAACTAGAAGGTGGAGAAAAGCAGGAGGAGGTGAAACAGAAAGTAGAAGGAAGTGAAAAGGAACTAATCTGATTCCTTTATATCAAGAGGCAATAGATTCTACATCATTTTTCAAGTTGATAAATGAAGAAACAGATATGTGTTAAATTTTTGAAATAACCATGAAAAGAATCAAAAATCTACCTAATTATGAGAAAAGGATAGGAGGAAAAAAACGGAAACCTTTCCACATACCAAAAGGTGGAAAACAAAGGAAACATGAAAAAAGACTTAAGGCAAAAATAAAAATATATTCAAATATCAGTAAGGTAAATGAAAAAAGAAAAAGATACTTAGATTGGGGGAAAAAAAAACTTCACATCAAGTCCTGTATTTCCTTTAAAATGTAATATAGATAGAGGAAATATCCATTTTTAGGCGGAGGGCAGCAGAAAGTAAGGAAGTCCTCACTTTAATCAGATTCTCACTCACCCCAACATGTCATGCGCTTCTTTGACAGTTTACAGCAATGGTTTCTGTTTAAACAGCCGTTTCTCTGACCCTGCATTCAGACACGCCCACTCCAAGAATCTTTCCCTTTGCGCCAGTTTGCTAATGGGAGTGAATTCATTCCTCACGTGTTGCCTTGCAAATCAGTTACAAACTCTTGGTTTTCAGAGTATTTTTCTAATGTTTTTAACTCATACCCCCTTCTGATAGACAAACAAATAAATAAATATAGGTTTAAAAACAAAATTCAGCTGGGTGCAGTGGCTCTTGTCTGTAATTCCAGCTACTCAAGAGGCTGAGGGAAGAGGATACCGAGGCCAGGAGTTCAAGACTAGCCTGGGCAATGTAGTGAGACCCAGTCTCTAAAAACATAAAAATAAACTCACCACCTACTTCAAATGTTTTCATTTCCCAAATATGCAAAAATATTATGAGTACCGATGCTTTTATACACTATACTTTCCTCTCCCCCATCTCTACATTGTTAAGAATCACTGATGTACAGAATCCCTTTCTAGGTAATTGGTGGATAATTCAGGATCCACAGAGGTTTTTGCTGCAGTTATGAGACAATATTCAGGAACCTTGAGTGTAGGCTTGTCTCAGTAGCACCAGATAGTATAATCCAGCCCTCTGGGCTTTCTGTCCTTATAAGGTTTTTACAGGCATTAGGTGAGACCACAGAAGGCAGCCCTACTAGTCTATAATGAGGGCCCGTCCTTAGCCCAGAGTGAAGATGTCAAGTCTAAAATAAGAGTGAAGGACCAGAATGCCTCCACCCAGCAGCATCTCCAGGGAATGGTAGTGATGTGGCCTGTGCACTGACGAGGAGTACAGGCCATTGATACTGAATCTATGCTCTCTTACTCACAAAAGAGGGTTCAAAAGGACCAAAAAGCAGATGGGTCACTTGTAAGCCCCCAATGTTCAGTGTAAAGGCCTTGCCTCAAATACCCTTGAGCATCCCCACACCAAACATTAATATCTAACATTTATTAAGTGCCAGAAAAGTTCCAGACATTATCCTAAGCCCTTTTACTTGGGTTATTTCATTTTATCCTTAAAACTCCACTATCACAGTCATGCATTGCTTAATGACAGGAATATGTTCTGAGAAATGCATTGTCAGGTGATTTCGTCATTGTGCAAACACCATGGAGTACACTTGCACAAACCCAGAGGGTATAGCCTTCTACCCACCTAGGTTATGACCTATTGTTCCTAGACTACAAACCGGTACAACATGTTACTGTTCTGAATACTGTAGGGAATTGTAACACTATAGTATTTGTGTATCTAAATATAGAGCAAGTATAGTAAAAATATGGTATTATGATCCTATGTGGCCACCATTGTATATGCAGTTCATTGCTAACTGAAACGTCATTATGTGGCTTATGACTGTATATCTGTTTTACAGTTGAGTAAATTAAGGCAGAGAAAGGTTAACTAACTCGCCCCGGGTCATAGAGCTACTAAGTGATAGAGCCAGAATTCAGTCTGACTCCAGAGCTTTCACTCATGGCAACTATGCTATGCATCTCTTAATTCTCATGATCACTTTCATATTGAAAATGGAGCAGGCCTATAATCTCAGCACTTTGGGAGGCCGAGGTGGGTGAATCACCTGAGGTCAGGAGTTCAAGACCAGCCTGGCCAACATGGTGAAACCCTGTCCCTATTTAAAAAATACAAAAACTAGCTGGGCAAGGTGGCAGGTGCCTGTAATCCCAGATACTGGAGAGGCTGAGACAGAAGAATCTTTTGAACCCAGAAGGCAGTGGTTGCAGTGAGCCAAGATTGGACCACTGCACTCCAGCCTGGGTGACAGAGCAAGACTCTGTCTCAAAACAAACAAAAAAAAGAAAATGGATAGGAAACCTTTAAGCGGCTACTCTAAGTAAGATTCTAGGGAGCCTCATGGCCTTGCCCTTTTCCTCCTTGTAGCTACATCAGCAAGGTAGACGTGCTGAATATTTTAGTTGCTGCTGCCTATCGCCACGTGCCATCTTTGAGTCAGATCTTGCAGCCAGCCGCGGTAACCAGGCTAAGGAACCAGCTTTTGGAAGCCGAGTACTACCAACTGGGCGTTGAGGTGAGACAAAGACAAAGCTTACTTCCACCCCACTGTAGCAAGTTGCTTTTGCTTAGCCTTGCAAACAGATATTGCCATCTTTCAGTTGTCCTGCCCATGGGGAAGAATCGGGGGCATGACTAGTTTGCCAGCAAAGGAGTAATGGCAGATAGTGGGGATGAGGTGGTTGGCAACTTGGGAATAGAATAGGTCTTTGGGACATTTAGGCCCTCACTAAAAGGGGCAATTTTTCTCCCAGGTCTCCACAAAGACTGGACTTGATACCACCGGGGCGTGGCATGCTTGGGGCATGGCCTGCCTCAAAGCCGGAAACCTCACTGCTGCACGGGAGAAGTTCAGTCGCTGTCTGAAGCCTCCGTTTGACCTCAATCAGCTGAATCATGGCTCAAGACTGGTGCAGGATGTTGTCGAGTACCTGGAGTCCACAGTGAGGCCCCTCGTATCCTTGGTAAGAGCAAAGCAGGAAGAGTGCCTGGCTCAGGAAGGGAGGCCCAGGAATAGCAATGACCTGGAAAAAGAATCAGCAGAAATTCAGCTAACAGTGTCAGTCCTGGCTTAGCGTCAACCAAGTTAAAAAAAATTTTTTCCATCACATATAGTTAGATAAGTAACTATATGTGGTTAGATAAGTAATAGATGCATTTAAAAAAAAAAAAAGGAAACGATGTTTAAAAAGATAAAAATGACATGTGACATATAATCCCATACACAGACTAATTAGTGTTAAGATTCTGGTGAATTTTCTATGTTATGTGTTTTAATGAAATCGGGGTTGTACCATATCATAATATGTAGAATTGTGTATCCTGCCTGTTCTACCTTTGACACTGCATTGTGAACATTTTTCCACATTGTTAAACATTCTTTGTAAGCAATATTTTCAGTGCCTGCCGAGAACTTTTTGAGTTTCATTTTTCTCTCTCGCTCTCCTGTGCTGTCAGCAAGATGACGATTACTTTGCCACCCTGAGGGAACTGGAAGCTACCCTTCGGACGCAGAGCCTTTCTCTGGCAGTGATTCCTGAAGGGAAAATCATGAACAACACCTACTACCAGGAATGCCTCTTCTACCTGCACAACTATAGCACCAACCTGGCTATCATCAGCTTCTACGTGAGGCACAGCTGCCTGCGGGAAGCTCTTCTGCACCTTCTCAACAAGGTGGGATACGGACACAGCTCAAAAAGGCAGTGCCTGCCTTGCTCCTCTGGCTTGGACCACTCAGCCTTAAGGGGGACAATAACCCCCTGACACTTAACCCTGTGTTGAGCTATGGGGCCATCTCTAGCAGAGCCAGGTCAAAACAGAGGACTCTGCACAACTGTTATTCAGGGAGTGTGAAAAGTCTTAGCCTGGATCCCAAATCTGTCCTCACCAGCAAAGGCACGTTTCATTCCTTCTCCCAAAACATGCAGCAGAATCGGATCGTGGTTAAGAGCATGGTCTCTGGAATGAGATGTTCAGTGTGAGTCTTGCATGACCTTGGGCATATTGCTTAGAGTCTGCTTCCACAGGCCTCCCTAGCTGGCCTGGGATAGTGTCCAGCTTCTGACCCAGCTGCTGGTCCGTTCGGAGTTGTTACTACAAGGGCCAGGAAGCACCATGGCACCAATCCTACAGTTGAACCCCAAATAGATGATGAAAGGAGAATGTGCCCTACTTTTTTTCCTCTCCCATCCTCTGCTCCCCTCCCACTGGAAGCAAAGGCACCACTGAAGAATATTATGCCTTTGGAGCCCTTGATAAGCAATCGGGACTTCGTTTTACCATGACCCATTTTTTTGTTTTTGTTTTTTCCAGATGGGGACTTGCTATGTTGCCCAGGCTAGAATGCAGTGGCATGATCACAGCTCACTGCTCCCTTGACCTCCTAGGCTCAAGAAATCCTCCAACCTCATCCTACTGAGTAGCTGGGACTACAGGCACATGCACCGCACCCAGCTACATTCCTTTTTTTATCTGAATGTTCCATAATAACTTTCGGAGAACTTGGCTGAGATGTACCAAATTTTATAGGAAATTTAATGAGCTCAAGGCAGACTTTAGTTTCATTCTGCCACCCTAATTCAAAACAGCAGCCAATGCAAATGTACAGACAGACATATTTTCTAAGATTGATCCAAGTGAAATCAGCAGTTCACAAAATTATTGTGACTATACCCCTACAGGACAGTGAAGACAGGGGGTTTTCACCAGTGCTGAGCTACTGACTATTCTTAGCTACTAACCAGGTCTCAAGAATAATGTAGAAGTCATGTTATATGGAGTGGAATTGCTAACTTTTTTCCTTTTCCTCAATTTCCAAACAAGTTTAGCAGTAAAGCTGTTTCTCCCAGGCACAAATTGAGAATGGAAATCACCTACTTCTGTTCCCTCTGACAGCTGTAATCCAGAAAGCTAAGCTGCCTACTTCATTAGCTTAGTATAAGCTGACGACAGCAGTGCCCTTGCTTTATATTTACCAGAGCTAGGAAAGAAACCTTCTTTTTATCTCCTGTAATCATAGTTACCCTTGAACTGAAATATCTTACCTTTATTCTCAAGCAGGTAGGGAGAGGAGGAAAAGACATTGTGAAAATTACACTTGAATGCCTGGAGCACGGAAGACGTTCTCTTCCCAGCCTTTTCCCTATGTGTTTTGTCCCTTTGCCCACACTGTCCCCAGACTGAGCTTTCTAAAACATAAATAGACTCATGTTATTCCCTCCCTAAAAGGCCTTCAGAGGATCTCCATGGCCACAGGAAGAACTCCAGATTCCTTAGCATGCTACAGAACTCACCAGGATCAGGCCTCCTTATTTCTCTAATTTATTTTCACCACAGATCCTATCTGTACCTTATACTCCAGACTCATCATATTACTTTTAACCAAATTTTCCTGATTTACCACGCACTGTCTTATTTCCATGAGTCTTTATATGCTGTTTCCTCTACCTAGAATGCCCTGCCCCTCCTTGTTTTCTGAAAAAAATTCATATTTGCCAGGCGTGGTGGCTCAAGCCTATAATCCCAGCCCATTGGGAGGCCGAGGCGGGTGGATCACTAGGTCAGGAGGTAAGCCCAGCCTGACGAAGATGGTGAAACCCTGTCTTTACTAAAAACTACAAAAAGTAGCTGGGTGCAGTGGCAGGCGCCTGTAATCCCAGCTACTCGGGAGGCTGAGGCAGGAGAATTGTTTGAACCAGGGTGGCAGAGGTTGCAGTGAGCCAAGATCGCGCCACTGTACTCCAGCCTTGGTAACAGTACGATTCCATCTCAAAAAAAAAAAAAAAAATTCTATTTATCCTTTTAGTATTCTTTCAGGCCCTCTCTGTTGAGCATTCACAGAACACTCAAGCAGCATTAGCCTCCATTGCCCTGGCACTGCATTTATCCTACTGGATTGCAACTGTTTGTTTACAATTGAGTCTTTCCATCTGGACCAACAAGGGCTATATTTTACTTATCCGTATATTCAGGCACCTGACCTAGTACCAATTATGAATGAGTATGTGGATAGATGAATGGATGGCATGGAAGTTCTTGAGGTGCTGCCCTTCTGAGGTGCTCCATCTCTCCTACAGAGCTAATGCCCCTGCTTCTTCAAATGTGGCCTACAACTTTTAGATGAGGTCTAGTTTTCTCTGAGGCAGGAGAATCGCTCGAACCCAGGAGGCAGAGGTTGCAGTGAGCTGAGATCGTGCCATTGCACTCCAGCCTGGGTTACAGAGTGAGATTCTGTCTTTTTAAAAAAAAAAAAAAAAAAAAAGACAAAAATATCTGCCGCCATAGTAGAAAGAGAGATAGTAAACATGAGAAATAAAATAGATAGTGTAGATTATGAATAAGAACAAGAAAAATAAAACAGGGATGAGGAAGGGGTGGCTTGTATAATTTTAGACTGGGTACCCAGGGAAGGTGACATCTGAGTAAAGTGCCAAAGAACACAAGGAGTGAATCATGCAGATCTATGGGGAAGGCACGGTCCAGGCAGAGGGTGTGATGAGGGCAAAGGCCAGGGTGGCTAGAGCAGAGTCCACTAGGACAGGGTACTATCGGATAAGGTCAGAAAGGTCACAGGCCAAATCATGCAGGACCTTGTGGACATTGTGAGGGATGAGAAGGGAAACTGCTGGGAGACTGTGAGCAGAGGAATAACGTGATCTGGCTTAGGTTTCAACAGAGTCACTCGGGCTCATTTGTGGGCGTTAGACTGACAAGAGGTAAGAATGGAAGCTGATAGACCAGGGAGGAGTATGTTGCAATAATCCAGACAAACGATGATGGCGGGATCCAGTGTGGTCCGAGGGAGGTGGTGAGAAGTGGCCGGATTCTGTGTGCTGTAATGGTGGTGGTGGAGCCAATAGGATTTGTTGATGGATTTAATGAAGGAGTGTGACGGAAAAGATGACTAAGGTTTTTGACTTGAACAACTAGAAGAATGGAGACACAGTCTGAGAAAGGGAAGACTGTGGAAAGAGCAGGTTTCAAGGAACAAGCAGGAATGTAGTTGTAGATGCATTCAGTTAGATCTTGAAGTGGACGTGTTGAGTAGACAATTGGATGTAAGTTGGATGTATGGTTCTGGAGTTCAGGGGGAATGAACAATCTGGAGATGGGATTTAGGCATCATCAGCAAATCAACAGTATATTAAGCAATGAGCCTGGATGAAATCACCAGGAGAATGGGTATAAATAGAAAAGAGTATAGGCTCCTCCTAAGCCCTGGGGAGACTGGGAGGGATCAGCTAAGAAAATTGAGAAGGAGCAGCCAGAGACGTAGACAGAAAATCTGGAGAGGACAGTGTGCTGGAGGCCAAGCTAGGAGAGTTTTTCTCAATTAAAATAAAAATTTATTTTTTAAAAAGGCTTTTCAAGGAGGAAGAAGCCATCTCTGTCAAAAGCTGCTGATCGATCAGGTAGAAAATGAGGATCAAGAATTAACTGTTAGATTTAGAGTTTAGTGGTCACTGGTGACCTAAGGGGCAGTTTCAGTGGAAGTTATGGGTGCAGAGCTAGATTAGAGTGGGTTCAAGAGAAAAATCACAGGAGGGAATTGGAGACAGTGAGGGTGGATAACCCTATCAAGGGGCTTCTCTGTAAAAGGAAGGAGAGAAGTGAAGCAGTCGCTAGAGTGAGATTCTCAAAGGTATCTGTGACACATAAAAGATTAAGAAGCAATGCATTGGGAGGATGCTGAAGGTTCATCAATAGAAGGAAATTCAGAGTGGATCCCAGACAGTGCCAAAACCAGACTCAAGACTTCTGACTTCTCGCCCTGCCCTGCTCCAGGAGAGTCCTCCAGAAGTTTTTATAGAAGGAATTTTCCAGCCAAGCTATAAAAGTGGGAAGCTACACACTTTGGAGAACTTGCTAGAATCCATTGATCCAACCTTGGAGAGCTGGGGAAAGTACTTGATTGCTGCCTGCCAACATTTACAGAAGAAGAACTACTACCACATTCTGTACGAGCTGCAGCAGTTTATGAAGGTAATGGCAGCCCCTTCCTGCCTTCTACCTCTATTGCTGATACCCCACCCTGCAGGGGAGGCAGTGCACTATGACGGAATGAGACTGTCATTGGTCCCTGGCCTTGCTATTTGGCTGACCCTAGAGCAAATCCATGTTGCTCTCCAGCATTGTTAAATAATATTAGGATTTCCATCCTAAGTTTGGAGGTAGACTTTAATCCTGTCGATAATGGCATTCTTCAGAAAGCAAGAAATTGACAGGTTAAAAAAAAAGAAATGAATGTTAGTTTCAAGATAAGCATGAGCTATGAATGTAGAATTCATAAGGAATGATGGAAAAGTTAGTGTTTTTAGAGAAAATATGTGAAGGGAGAAGGAACATGTTTCTCCCAATCTTCCTGAGGATTGTCAGCACTAAATGACAGAGAAATTGAATTATTTAATGCCAAAGTACAAGTAAAGCCGATTTGAGTGGAGAATCAGAAATATCTTCTTTTAGCATCTCTTTGGTGGTGGAATAATGTCCTACAGAAGAGCTCCACCAGTCAGTGCACTTCGGGATCTCTTGGACCTTTGGGTGATGGGTTCAAAATAGCAGCTCAGCTGCTGGTGGGAGTAGGTGCTGGAAACGAGGTCTCTTAGTGGAAATCCACACCCCACCCCCAAACCCCTGATCTACTTTGACCTGAACATCTATTTTCCTCTTCTAGGACCAAGTTCGGGCCGCCATGACCTGTATTCGGTTCTTCAGTCACAAAGCAAAGTCATATACAGAACTGGGAGAGAAGCTGTCATGGCTACTTAAGGCCAAGGACCACCTGAAGATCTACCTCCAAGAAACATCCCGCAGCTCTGGAAGGAAGAAAACCACGTTCTTCAGAAAGAAGATGACTGCAGCTGATGTGTCAAGGTAGCTGGAGGTTCAGGGGACCATTGGTGTGGAGCAGGAAGGGTGGGAGCAGGTTTCTGTTGGTGATGAAGCTACTCTTGTCCATTCCCCAAATCCTGAAAAAAAAATCTAAAAGGAATCATCCCTGGATGACAGTGTCTAGTACAAGCCTGGAAAGCCTACAGAGGAGCTGGTAGGCGGAGTGGGAGTGGAGGGAGGATTAGCATAACAGGCTACAATCAGACTACACTCCAAACTCCTTACAGTAGGCAAAAAGGGGCCTGTACGTTCTGGCCCCTGCTGATGTCACCATCTTTATCTCCTGCTACTCTCTTGTTGCTAAGCATCAATCCCTGGCCTCCTCAGGGCTCCTCAACACACCAATCCTTAATTCCTCTCAGCTTTAATACTTGCCAGTCCCTCTACGTAGAACATTACATCTGAGGTAAACGCTCTACCACTACCATTTATCGCTTCCAGAGGCTTAATTGCTAACTATTTTATGTGTTTGTTTACTATTCATTTCTCTTCTAGCCTATAAACTCTGAGGGCAGGGCTCATCTCTCTTGACCAGTGTTACTGTACCTGGCACATAGGTGCTCAATAAATACTTGTTGATTCAATGACTGGACCCTATCTGGTTCCACAATGCTCCGTAATATTGCGAGTCTGTGCAGGACACGAGATCACCATTTTTTGGTCTTGTCATAACTGCTCACAAGGTATTTGGGGTCTCTTTTCCCTCTGCATCATTTCTTTTCCCTTTTCCATCACCATGTTATTCGACTTCTCAGTCTCCTGGCCTCAGTCACCTCACTCCTGGGCCCTCATGAGGCTGGACTGTGCGTATTCTGTCATCACAGGCACATGAACACACTTCAACTGCAGATGGAAGTGACCAGGTTCTTGCATCGGTGCGAAAGTGCTGGGACCTCTCAAATCACCACTTTGCCTCTGCCAACCCTGTTTGGAAATAACCACATGAAAATGGATGTTGCCTGCAAGGTACATGCAGCGTTTCAGACCTCTGGCAGACTACTGTCATCTTTTAGAACACTTATCATAATTGCAGTTGTCTAGTGTTATTTCAGTTGTTTGTTTGATGGCTGCCTCGCCACTAGAATATGAGCCACTGAAGACTGGTGATCAAGTCCATTTTGATGATTCTTATATGCCTAGTGCCTGGCACTTAGCAGGGTCTCAACGAATATTTGTTGAATAATTGAATAAATAGGGGCCTTCATTCTTGGTCAAGAGGATACTCTAGTAATTGTTATGTTTTTAAGCATGATTCCCTTTCCTTTTCAGGTCATGCTGGGAGGGAAAAATGTAGAAGATGGTTTTGGAATTGCATTCCGTGTTCTGCAGGTATGACTTGGATTACTCAAATCATACTGAGGACAATCAGCACCTGACCACAGTTCCCGGAGAGATTATTCTTTAGGAAATTCTTATCCCAAGAAAAGTAGATTTACACGCACATTAGGGATGAAATCAAGGAGGTGACTATTACAGAACTGGGTCAAATTCAAGACTCTAGGCCACTTTGCCAGAAGCCAAGTAACCCACGACAAATTCATCAAAAGCTACCAAATAAATACCAGGAGCCAAGTCTCAGACAGTTCCCCATAGCTGTTTCCTTGAGAAACACTGCTCGTTCTCACAGGGAGCATGGCTGGAGGGCTGGCCAGGGGCTTTCCACTGGCCACAAGGGCTGTTCCCCTTTCTCGGTCTGTATAGGAGCTGGCTGGAGGAATACGTTTTCTATTGCTTGTGATAAAAGGACACAGGTCCGGCTGTGGCACTGGAGCAGGGGCTGGAGCAGGGCACTGAGACCATGAGGGGCAGAGTCTCTACAGACCTGCCCACCACCACACAGCTCCATGCAGATACCCCAGGAGCTGACAGCAGGCAGCTTAGGGCAGGCAGGGTATTCATGCATTGTGCGTGTGTCAGTAATCAATGGCTTCATATATGATTAGTCAGGTGTTTTTCTTCCCATCTATTTTCAGTGTTGGACAGAGCTCACTATACACAGATACCCTGGTAGGCAGGCAGAGGGGCAGCTCCACCCAGGCCCTGTGGCATAAGGGTTCTCCTAGACCAGATTTACAGTGTTTATCTGGCAGTTTTCAGCGAATGAGTCGTTCAGTGAATGGGTCTGTTTCTGAACACTAAGTCGACTACCTCTTAACAGAGCACCAGGTGTCCAGGGTAGCAAATACCAGCCCCCAATGCCCATTTCTCAAGAAAAAGCAGACTTATTAGAGAGAAAATGAACTCGTCTTAGGATTTTGATAAGAATATTTTCAGTGAGTGCCACCGCAGCAAGCTAAATGTATCATTTTAGATACTTGGCTGCAGTTTTTTGGGGTTGCTTCCTAAAGTTCTACCTGACGCCAAAGAGGAATTGATGCTTGCTTTTCGTTTGGTCTATTTATGTTTTCTACTGTGACCACAATCAATATGGCTTATCTACACCAAGCATAGTGAGAGCTTTTAAATGCTGCCTCCCTCCCCACTGTTAACGTTTCCTGCTCCTAAGCCCATCATCTCGTGTTCTGTTCTAGGACTTCCAGCTAGATGCTGCCATGACCTACTGCAGAGCTGCCCGCCAGTTGGTGGAGAAGGAGAAATACAGTGAGATCCGGCAACTGCTCAAGTGTGTCAGTGAGTCAGGCGTGGCAGCCAAAAGTGACGGGGACACCATCCTCCTCAACTGCCTGGAAGCGTTCAAGAGAATTCCACCCCAGGCACGCTCCCTCTCGTACCTCTTGGCTCCTCCATCAATTTCAGCGTCTTCACATCCCTGTCTTTATTGTTCTGTTTCCCATAATGTGCCTGAAACTCTACAAGATCCTTTTATCATTCTGAACCCCTCTGCAATAATGGCCTCACCCTAATTGACCCTTCCCTGTAAAGAAAATTTATGGAGATGATGTCTATACCCAGGGTGGCCCTCAATATCCCACTGTGTAAATTTGTTTGCACCTGGAAGTGTCTATGGAGTTGAGCTTCTTCGAAGCTACAATTGTAGAGGAGGTCAGGGTCGGCCAGCAGATGACCTTTGAAGCCTGTTACCTGCGGAATTGTCCTCCCATGGTGGCTTTTTGGAGTGAACACAACCACATCCATTTGTGAAGGCCGTGGACAGGCCTCTTGGGAACTGTCCTTCTCCCCAAATTCTGAAGCTTAGTGTTATGGTTAAATTTTCTTTCTTGTTCTTAAAGCAGGAGTTGCGTTTACAAAGAAGAGTCAGCCAGGTGTGGCAGCACATGTCTGTAATCCCAGCTGTTCTAGAGGCTGAGGCGGGAGGATCACTTGAGCCCAGGAGTTCTGTACTATAGTTTATTATGCCGATACATACTTAGTGTTAGAACTTAGTGCCTGCACTAAGTTCATGATCAATTTGGTGACCTCCCAGGAGCAGGGAACCACCAGGTTGCCTAAGGAGGGGTGAACTGGCCCAGACTGGAAATGAAGCAGATTAAAATTCCTGTGCTATCAATAGTGGGATCATGCCTGTGAAAAGCCACTGCACTCCAGCCTGGGCAACATAGTGAGACCCCATATCTTTGAGAAAAAAAAGTCAGGCAGGCATTTTGATTCTGAAGTCAGAATGGCTGGGTTGAGGCTGGGTTGGGCCCTGGCTCCCAGACTGTGGAACTCTTCTCCCTCTCACATTGCTGTTTCTGTTCTGTACAGGAGCTGGAGGGCCTGATCCAGGCAATACACAATGATGACAACAAGGTGAGCTGAATTGTCTCCAAACCTGGTGATGCTAATGAATAGTGTCTCAGGCTTGCCTTGTCACCTTTATCCCTTGCTCCCTACAATAGCTCCATACAACCCGTATCTCAGCTTCTTTATTATCAGAGGTGGAACCGAGGCTTGGTTAGGGGTGTAGGAAGGAGGGAATAGATGGGGAGTAGGTGAACATGGACTGCATGAGTCTTTGCCTTCCCAAGTCTTTATCCCCAAGACGAATGTGTCCTAGGCTGCTCTTGAATCTCCATTTTAAACTGATGTCTTCTCTCAGAGATCCCTAGGAAATCCTTCACCTCACCTCCATCTTTGGATGGACTGATGGAATGAGGTTCCCAGAGTAGGCAGGTGTCTCTTTATCCTAGAGGGAAAAAGGTACAGTAAGAAAAAAACCCCACCCCACGCTTTGACCAACAATGTCCACCAGTGTCTCAGTTTCCAGAATGAACCTCTCCTCAGGGGCCAAAGAACTCGTCCCTGTTTGGGAAATTGGTGAACCTTTGCTTCCCGTTGCCTTTGGGAGGAGTGCCAGTAAGAATAAAAATCTTCCCAGATGCCCCCATTTGTGGCTGACCACTGGATTGATCCTTCTGCCATCTGCAGGAAGGGCTCCAAGCCAGGAGGGGCATGAGAAAGCCAAGCCAGTCTGAGCTGCCCTGGCCAGCGGCAGGAAAAATATCTGACAGCTGAGTCCCCTGTGATGAAAATTGACGTCAGGCAAAGAGCTTCTTACATGCTTCCCATGGCCGTATTGCTGATCCCGGGACTGAATTTACTGGGCATTTTTCAGTCTCCAGGGTTAAGGAGAACAACTTCTAAACATTTCTTCATTTATTTCTGTAACGTCATGATGCACTCCTTGGAAAGGATGAAATTCTGACATCCTGAAATGTAGAGAATTACTTTTCTAGAGTCAGATTGAGGACCCAACAGCCAGGACAGACGCCCAGATCCTCTGATTCCCAGACTGCAGTTCTTTCTCAAGCCTTCACGGAGCCTCCCACTCCGCAGGACAGCGACTCTATTCCTGGGAAAGACATGCGCTAAAGTAGAGATAGTCCTTATTACTTTTTCAGGTATTTTTCTCTCAGCAGCTGTCTAACGCAGTTAAATGACCTGAGGCCATGGGGGCTTGCCAGAAAAACAGCTTCATTCAACTCCATTCCTGACTCTCTGGCAAAATGTCCCTCTTCTCTTGGTAGGAATTTTGCCTGCCAACTTGTGAGATGTATTTAGCTTAGCGTACGTAGATGCTAAGGGGAGCTCAAGGCCTGGGGAGAGCTAACATCCTAGGGCAGCAAGTGGATACCCAAGCAGCACAGGACTGGATCACTTCAGTGACCTCAGAACATGCCAGACATCATCTAGCTGTAGGAGATTATCTGTAATTCAGCTTAGAGAGGAAAGAAAGACTTTAGTGACCAAAACAAATAACAGATGGAGCATTGATACAGGAAGCAAGGCGAGTCCCCTTCACTAACCAACGGGGATTATTGTGACAGAAAGGCAACTGCTGGCAGAAGCTCTGTGGCAGCTTGTGAAGGCCTCTCTGCTCACCAGCTTAGAACACTGTTTAACCAGGGGGTGCTGGGGAGACCAGGGCCAGGAAGGAAGGGACTCTTGTCTCCACCAAACTGGGGATTCATGAGATAGCAATTCTGGGAGATACATACACACATACGCACGTCCTGAAACAGCTGCCTTTGGTCCAAACAGGCAGAGTCAAATCAGATCTAAGTGGGGTTAGAACTTAATTCGACTTTTTCCAATTGCGTGTGTGTGTCTTTCTCCTCAAATTTCCAGTAATTATAAAAAAAACTTTAGATTCAACAGGCTGAAAACAGAAAAATAGAGGAGGATCTATGTGTTCATTCTAGGATTCTGATGGTTTATTCATCCCTGTAATGCATATTCGCTGAACACCTACTACATGCCAGGCCCCGTGCTATGCACCAGGAATACTACAGGAGTAGAAAAAACAGACACTACTCTTGCCCCTTAAAGTCTGGTTAAGGAGACAGGCATCAATCAAATAATCACCCAAGTAACTACAAAATCACAACTCTGGGTGAGAGCAGTGCTGATCCTGTAGCCCAGAAGCTGCTGAAGAGCCTGGGAGAGTGAGGAGGAGAGTGTTAGCGGGAGTGGACAGAGACCAGACTGCCTGCTGGCCTGCCTTCTTTTTTAAATTCTTAGCTTATTTGTCATAACTTTTTATACTATAAAATAGCACAGTGTTATAGCGTATGTCCAGAATATTGAAAGAGTTGTTATAATACCATAAAATGCACGAATCCCGTTATGAATGTAGCAGGTGAGACGTGATGTCTGTCTGCCTGAGCTTTCTGCTGCAGCTCTGTGTACTTGATTTGTCAGTGATGGATGCCTTTCCGCTGTCTCTTTTATAACTGACTGCCAGGTTCGGGCCTACCTGATATGTTGCAAGCTGCGTTCTGCCTACTTGATTGCTGTGAAGCAAGAACACTCACGGGCCACAGCCCTCGTCCAGCAGGTGCAGCAGGCCGCCAAGAGCAGCGGGGACGCAGTAGTGCAAGACATCTGTGCCCAGTGGCTTCTGACAAGCCACCCCCGGGGTGCCCATGGCTCAGGCTCTAGGAAGTGACCTTGGGCAGCGGGGCCAGGAACACGTAACCTGAGAGCTGGGCAACAGCAGTGATGGCGATGCCCTCCACCTCTTCCTTCCTGTGGAGTGGAACTTCTCTGGCTCTGCCCTAGGTTGGAAAGAGCTGGATTGAACCCTACTTGCCTTCCCGGGCAAGTATAGGACTTTTCACGCAAGTGCCATGTTTCTCTAAAATTGTGGAATCTATGTGTGTTTGTCTGGAGATGGCCAGTTCTTTCTACCTCAGAGTGAGTGAGTGTGTGTTCACACACGCGTGCATGTTCCTGTGCACTGATGTTTACGCCCAAGCATTTCTGAACAAATGAAACTCTTCTCCATTGAAAAGAGGCACTTTACTTTAGACTTGCCACTCTGAAAACCTTCCCTGCGTTTTGGTTCTTGACCCGGGTTGTCCTGTTTGTACAGTCCCCTCCCTGTGGACGTGCTTTAGTAGCTCCTCTTACCTAGAGGACTTTTACAGAGAATTAGAGCAACACCAAAAGGATTGCCTCTTTTCCTTCCTTCCCATTCCAAAATTCAGAGATGGCTTTGGGGCAAGTGCTACCTGTGGAATAAACCTGTTTTCCAGGTGTCTCTTCTCCCAAGCACAAGAAGTCCTGGAGTCTTTGGAAGGTAGTCTGAATAGAAGGGTTTTCCGGTGCAGGCATCTGAAAGCTGTGGGTACATTTATAAATGATCAGATCTGTGAGGCTAACATGGGCAAGAGGGTCTCCATCACATTCATCCAGAGGGGAAAGAAAGGCCACCATCCAAACAGGGATACAGGGGAGGCAGGTGGGGGGAGCGGTGCGGAGCGGGTGCTCACAAGCACAGAGCTGCCTCTTGTCAATGTCCCTCCTGCAAAGTTGGTGGGTGAGAAAACGTGACTTTCTCTTTGAGGGTCTGGGGAGAGAAATGGTGGCCAGGATCGTAGGACTGAATGACTCGATTTTACCTATTTGAGCTGCAGTCCTGTTCGAGCTGCTTGAATTGGTTAGGAAGCTGCTTCCCTTTCCCTCCTGCTTCCATTCAGTCTCTTCAGGACCACGGGATGGATATGCAGACACGTGGGGTCATTGGGAAGGGAGTGCGCTTCTTTTCTCTGTCTTAGAAGAGGGAGTCAAGGGTTGGCTTGGAATTGGGCCTCTGGACAGAGTCAGAATGAGGACATAATGAATAGGTCACATCTGGTTGGTGGAAAACTAGGTGAAGTGCTTCTTTAATATGCACTGGCTTGTCTTCCCACCCAAGATGTGACAATGTTTGAGAAAAGGTGTGTCATACTCAGTGACTTCAATTTGCAAATGAGGGGCCTAAAGAAAGCTCTGCAGCTCTGAACCTCTCACTGGCCAGAGCTCAGCCTATTGGTCCCACCCATGATGCTAAGACAAACAGAAACTGGAAGCTGAAGTCAGTGTCTTTGGTGCTTAGAAACCCTGTGGATTTCCCTCTGAACCGAGATTTTTAGTAGTAAAATAAACAACTCATGGACATCTGTCAGATGAGAAGTTTTGGTCCTGTTAGAGAGGAAAAAGACCGTAAGGAAACTATTAGATCCATTTGGGCTAAAGTTTGGCTTTTCCTTCCTTGAGTCATAGAACGTATCCATCTCCCAGGAAATGTCCTTCTCTGGCATCTGCTTGCCCTTCTGAGTCTGCCTTTTTTGCACTGAACATAAGCACTTTATACTAATGGGTCACAAATCTTGCAGCCCTTAATTTGGGATAAGACCAGATTTTCCTGACATTTTCCTCTAACTCATTGAACTATCAAATTATAGGTAACCACTGACTAGACTGATAAGAGATGAGGCTAAAAGCCTTTGAATACCACGCTGTAGTCTCCAACAGAAAAACCACCAAAACAGATATCCATGTTGAGGGGTTGAATGTTTTACTACAAACAAGCCACAATAAAGTGTGTATCAACGTGTTTCTTGGCTTCGTAACTTCTTTGTGCTTTCTTGCGCCTACCCTTCCTGTCCTTTTTCCTTGTGGAGAGAAAAGGTGGGTGGGGAAGATCAGATAGCCTTCAATTCAGACTTACTCTAAATAATCCCCATAATGACTAATGACTCTGCTTTGGATTTATCTCATTTCCTGTGTGTTAAAAACTATTAGTGCACCCTCTACCACCAGAAAACTTTTTTTTTTTGCTTTAGTTGGAGGATGGGTAGAGATAGGTAATACATTTATAAGGTACAAAAGGTAAGTGAAAAGTCCCTTCCACCCTGTCCACCCAGCCCAGTCCCCTCCCAGAGGCCACCATTGTTATCAGTGTCTAGCATATAGTTCCAGAGCTACTTATGCATAAACAAATATTAATGACTAAAGTGTTCCACTGTGAAGCTATACCACAATTATTTAACCACTTTCTAATGATGTACATTTCATGTTGTTGCCATCTTTCGCCACTACAGATTATGCTGCATTGAATTATCTTGTCCAGAATTGGTGGGTCAGAGCATAAGTGCATTTAACAAATATTGCCAGTTACCTTCCAAAGAGGTCGTAGCAATTAACTCTCCCACCAGCACTGTAGAGCGTACCTGCTTTCCCATACCCTTGCCCCAACTGTTAACAAATTTTCTAGATCTTTGCTAGTCCAATGGGTGAAAGGTTTCTTCTTTAGTGAATTTTGTTGTTGTTGTTGTTGTTGTTGTTGTTGAGACAGGCTCTAGCTCTGTCACCCAGGCTGGAGTGCAGTGGCCTGGCTAATTTTTTTATTTTTTATAGAGACAGTATCTCACTGTGTTGCCCAGGCTGGTCTTGAACTTCTGGGCTTAAGCAATCCTTCAGCCTCATCCTCCCAAAGTGCTAGAATTACAGGGCCACTTCCCCTGGCCCTGTGCCCCAGCCTCTAAAACTCTTTAAAAGGCTGTTTGTCATTTTAAAAGCTCTATGTATCTTTTCAATATCGACCAAATTGTCAATCTTTGAAACCAGGTGTAGGGTCTTTGGGGAAAGCAGAACTCAAACTTAGCTTAAACTGTTTTCTTGCCACGCATTTCAGGCATATGTTTGCAGTATGATACTTGAGCCATGGACAGTGTCATCACTGTTCATTATCTCCTTTCCCCAGAAACATGACCTCATCCAATTTCTCATGTTAAAAAAAAAAAAAAAAGACTATACTTTCAGGGATCATTTCTATAGTTCGCTAGTAGAGAAGTTTCTCTGTGTAGAGTACTGACTAAGGAGCTTCTGCACAGCAAAAGACACTATCAGAGTGAACAGGCAACCTACAGAATGGGAGAACATTTTTTACATCTCTTCATCTGACAAAGGTCTAATATCCAGAATCTACAAGGAACTTAAATAAATTTACAAGAAAAAAACAATCCCATCAAAAAGTGGGCAAAGGATATGAACAGATACTTCTCAAAAGAAGACATTTATGCAGCCAACAAACATGAAAAAAGCTCATCATCGCTGGTCATTAGAGAAATGCAAATCAAAACCACAACGAGATGCCATCTCATGCCAGTTAGAATGGCAACTATTAAAAAGTCAGGAAACAACAGATGCTGGCGAGGCTGTGGAGAAATGGGAATGGTTTTACACTGTTGGTGGGAGTGTAAATTAGTTCAACCATTGTGGAAGACAGTGTGGCTATTCCTTAAGGACCTAGAACCAGAAATGCCATTTGATCCAGCAATCTCATTACTGGGTATATACCCAAAGGATTATGAATCATTCTACTGTAAAGAGACATGCACACATGTATTTACTGCAGCATTATTCATAATAGCAAAGACTTGGAACCAACCCAAATGCCCATCAGTGATAGACTGGATAAAGAAAATGTGGCACATACACACCATGGAATACTATGCACCCATAAAAAAGAATCATGTCCTTTGCAGAGACATGGATGAAGCTGGAAGCCAACATTCTCAGCAAGCTAACACAGGAACAGAAAACCAAACATTGCATGTTCTCACTCATAAGTGGAAGTTGAACAATGAGAACATGTGGAGACAGGGAGGGGAACATCACACACCCGGGCCTGCCGTAGGGAGGTGGGAAAGGAAAGGGAGAGCATTAAGACAAATACCTAATGTGTGCAGGGCTTAAAACCTAGTTGATGGGTTGATAGGTGCAGCAAACCACCATGGCACATGTATACCTATGTAACAAACCTACACGTTCTGCACATGTATCTCAGAACTTAAAATACATAATAAATTTAAAAATTAAAAAAACAGCTCTGAAAACAAACAACAGTAATGATTTAAGTAGACCTGAAAACCACTTGGTAGTGGACATAGCACAAAGATATGTCACAACAGAGAAAATTGGAACACCCACTCTAAACCGAGGATAGATGACCGCTATGTTTAGAAACCTGAGACACTCCAAGGTTACCAGATATCTTTGGCTGGAGCTTAAGCAAAGTAGATCAAAGGCTATTAGATTCTTTTAATACCCAAGCCACCAAATATTGATAGTCACAGTAACCCCAGAGGAAACAGCCTTTTCCTGGCCTTCCTCTCTTCTTCCACAGTGACAATGTTAACTGACCTATCTCTGAAATTTTCAGTTCTTCCACAACAAATTCATTCAATATCTGGTTACTGAATGGCTTCTTTGGTGGAATGCTTTCCTGCTCACTAATTCTGCATGTTGTTATTTCTGCCTGGAGCCCTTCCTTCAGCACCTCCTCTACCCTACCCTCCAGTCTACCATTGTCAAACCTCTTCCCTCAGTCCTGCATCGAGTGCCTTCTCCTGTACAGATTATTCGCTTCTCAACCTATGCTTTCTCTTCATCCCACTTAAAGACAAATTCCTCAAGGTTCTAGCCACTCCTTCTTGACACTCATATTCTCCCATACAATCCCATAGCTTCAGCAGTCGTGTTGACTGCCGCCCTTAACTCTTTCCCACACAAGATCTGCCTTTTGACTACCTCCTGGAACTCACCACAAGGCTGACCTGCACCTAAAATTAACAGCATGTCCAAAATGGAATGCATTCAATTCTACCCACAAACCTGAACTTCCTTCTTCAGTGAATACATAGTTTTGTTTTATTTTATTTTATTTTATTTTACTGAGACAGGGTCTGGCTCTGTCACTCAGGCTGGAGTGCCATGGTGTGATCACAGTTCACTGCAACCTCTGCCTCCTGGGCTCAAGCCATCCTCCCACCTCAGCCTGCTGAGTAGCTGAGGCTACAAGTGTGCACCACCAGGCCAGGCTAATTTTTGTATTTTTTTATAGAGACAGGGTTTATTCGTCATGTTGCTCAGGCTAGTCTCAAACTCCTGAGCTCAAGCAGTCTGCCCACCTTGGCCTCCCAAGGTGCTGGGATTACAGGTATGAGCCACCACATCCAGCTGTGAATATATAGTATTACAGAATGTTATTATTACTATTGTGTATGCTGCCTGGTTAGAAACCTCTGTGCCAGCCAGGTGCAATGTCTCATGCCTGTAACCCAACACTTTGGAAGGCTGAGGTGGAGGAATCACTTGAGCCCAGGAGTTCAAGACCAGCCTGGCCAACATAACGAGACCCTCACTACAAAAAATAAGAAAATTAGCCAGGCATAGTGGTGGGCACTTGTAGTTCCAGCTACTGGGGAGGCTGAGGTGGGAGGATCGCTTGAGCCCAGGAGTTAGAGGCTGCCATGATCCAAGATTGTGCCACTGCATTCCAGCCTGGGAAACAGAGTAAGACCCTGAAAAAAAAGAGAGAGAGAGAGAGAGACGGAAGAAAGAAAGAAAGAAAGGAAGGAAGGAAGGAAGGAAGGAAGGAAGGAAGGAAGGAAGGAAGGAAGAAACAAAAGAATGAAAGAAGAAAGAAAAGAAAGAAAGAGAGAGAGAAAGAAAGAAAGAAAAAAGGAAAGAAGAAAGGAAGGAAGGAAAGAAAGAAAAAGAAAGAAAAAGAAAGAAAGAAAGAAAGAAAGAAAGAAAGAAAGAAAGAAAGAAAGAAAGAAAGAAAGAGAGAGAGAAAGAAAGACAAGGAAAGAAGGAAGGGAGGGAGGGAGGAAAGAAGGGAGGAAGGAAGGAACTCTGTGTTGACTGTGTCTTCCCCCACCTCCTCATTTGAAAACATTTAAGTACCTGCCATGCATCAAGTTGTGTCCAAGCTATATCCAAAGTCAAATCCTATCATCCTACCTTTCCAGCCAGAAGAACCTGACCCTTCTACTTCATCACTGTAGTTCAGGTCCTCATCACCTCCTCCCCTGACTGTTGCAGAAGCCTCTTCGTCTCAAACATTCATCCTAGAGTTTCACCTTCTACCAACTCCATATGAACAAATAATAATTCTAGAAGAATCAAAGGACTTCTCTATAATATTGAGGTATGGAGAGGCTAAGTAGATACAGAGCCTAGGATCCTTGAAAGACTTGATGTTTTTTATTGTGCTAAAATATACATAACATAAAATTTACCATTTTAACCACTTTTAAGTGTACACTTCAGTGGCATTGAGTACATTTACATTGTTGTGCAACCATCACCACCATCCACCTCCAGAACTTTTTCATCCTCCAACTGAAACTCTGCACCCATTGAACACTAATTCCCCATTTACCCCTCCTCACAGCCCCTTGTAACCGCTACTATAATTTTTGTCAGTGAATTTGACTACTCTAGGTGCTCAGGCAAGTGAAATCATACAGTATTTGTTCTTTTGTGTGTGGTTTATTTCACTTAGCATAATGGAAACCCCAGTTGATGTTGGTGACCAGTGATTCACGGTAGCTCCAATCTGTGAGACTGAGTGATTTTCTCCAGCCGTACTCTTGGTATATAGAAATCAGAGAGATGGACCACTCCATGGGTGCTTGGCCTTCACTAGACAGGAGTGATAATGGGGCAAGTGAATCAGCCAGGAAGAAAGTTGGAGGAGTAGGAGGTTGTGGCTAGAGTGGAATGTTAAAAGTTATCTGGAGAGCAGAGAGTTCACGTGATGGCAAGA